TTTAAAGTATATTATATTATTATAGTTAGTTATATAAAGGATAAATAAATATTATAATATTCTTAAAAATTAGAGTAATATAGTTAAGCTTTAGATTATAAGGAAAATAGTAGAAAACATATATAAAAAAGGTAAAAAAGTTATTATTAAAAAACTATGGAAAACTCAGTTCTATTTATTTATACTATTTCATTAAAGTATATAAAGGTATTTAAATCTAACTAATATAGTTTTAATTAATAAAAGTTCATTTATTATAATAAAAAGAAAAATATATTAACTATATAATCATAAATAAGTTATTAAAATAAAATATATTATAAATATTTTCTAACTATAAAGAAAAAGAATATATTACAATATTAAGCTAAATAAATATTATTATAATATAGAGGACCCCACACTCGGATGAGGTAGCTGTTAAAACATCGGATGAGGTAGCTGTTAAAACCTCGGATGATGTGTAGCCACGTAGCAATTAGCAGCAGATCAGCACTTTCGACAAAGCAAAGCCACGTAATAACAACCGCTGAGCAGAGGGAAAAGGCCAAAGGGGGCCGCGCAATGACATTGGCAGGAAATAAAGACCGCAAAAACTAGATCCACAGATTGGCAAAGGGAACAAAAAGGTGGGCAGTGGCCACATTGCCACATTGATGACACCCACCAGTCTCGGACCACTCGCTGCAACAGCAAGGGCAAAGCAAAGAAAAAAAATGGGGTACGGAACGGCAGTGGAAATAAATACCCCCCAAGACCGGAATATTTATTTCGAGGTATAGCCGGAATTCAGAGTTATAAGTAGACCAACGGCATTCCAATGTCTGCTGCGTTACTCGTTAGCGCAGGGGCATCCTTCCAAAAGGGAAAGGCCAGCGCCAACACGGATAGTCTTGACTCTTACCTCGAAACAAATCTTTATCCTTCTGGGCCTTCGAACCACCTGAACAAGCTGTCGTGTCCGGGACGAAACGACCAAGCAGCCGAGTAAGTCTGTTTAGCATTGACACGAATTGGGCCACATCTTGCAAACTGCTGAAATGACTAGAATTACCATCCCCTGTGGCAAGAATTTGTGTCTTCAATATTGACAATTTGTCAATCACCACCCGACTGTGCCTCTGCCTTTAGACTACGTAGTGGTACTGTCACTAGTACGGTCACTAGCTTTGCTGCCGGCTCGTGCCATGCAGCAGCCACGTGCGCCACCAAGAAATCGCCGCCGCAGAATCATTCGATAACTAGATATGATACCCCTTTTTTTATACCATTTTTGCGTTTGCTTTTTTTTATTATTATTTCTTTTCATGTGGCCGCCAGTGCCACCCTCCTGGGGCGATGCATAAGACCAGGGCCTGTGATAACAAGACCTCTCCCCCATGCCCCCCTCTGGATGGGGCAAAAAGATGCAAACTCACCGTCGATCTCCATGATCCGCTTCTTCTGGGGTCTGTCCGCCCCCTGATATGTAACCGAATTAATTATCCTTTTGCCTGCTGGTGCTGCATCTCCTTAGCCCTTTGTCTAGTAATTGCTTTGTCCTCACTGCGCCCGTAGTACTAGACCTGTAGCTTGTTTCTTAACTCGTCCCTTTTTTTTTCTTCTTCTCCATTTCTTCGTGCGGCTCAGATTCTCTGTTTCGTTTCCGCGATTCGTTTCCTTTCTCCTCATCTGTCCCACTCGTGTTCTTTGCCTAGCGACTGCTTCCTTTTGAAACTTCGCCGATGCTGCCATAGAGGGAATTGCGTATTGGCGCACAACACTTGGCAACTTTGATACTTTGACTCGCTCGTTCAAGTCCCAAGGACCGGTTCAGGCGCGCTCCGTTTTCCCTTGTCTCATATTTTCTTCGCATCTTCAACCTTTTTGTTTCCTCTACTTTCGTTCTTTCTTTCTCTTCTGCCCCTCTTTGGCGTCTGACAAAAGGAGGCCGCTTGCTCTCGTGCCTCGACATACACCACCGCAATCTGTCCTTCCCGTCGGGCACTCGAATCGCGTTTCGGCGTTGCGCAGACTCCTCGAAGTTAATCCGCCTGACCTATCATTCTTGCCTTGATTCTCTCTCTAGCCGACTCGAAAACTTGGTGATGCAAGCTGCCTCAGCTGTCCTTTCGACGATCATCTATTAGTGCCGCTCTTCCTCGCCCACCTGAGCAAGCTGACGACGCTTGCACGACTCCCGCATCATCACGAAGAGGCCCGGTCCTCCGTGAACCTCGCAAAAAAATCCGACATGATGCCCCGGCCATCCGGTATCGTCCGTTACTTGGGCATAGCCCTGATTATGTTGTTTGCGCTCTGTGCTTTGAACAATAATGTCTACGAAATTTCAGTCTCCAACCTCCATCGTGGGCCTGGTGGCTACGGTGGCCGTTTCTACAAAGGGTACCGTCCAACCTGACTTTTTCTAATCTAAGTGAACCATGCTAACCTCATTGTGTACTCAGGGCCAAGACTCATCCGATTGACAGCCTGATATTCAACGCCCAACACAAGTTTGCCGAACTCCTTCGCAAGGAAACAAGGACCGTCGAAGACGCCGCCCAAGCATATCGCAAACGCCGCGGCCGCCATCCACCACCCGGCTTCCAGAAATGGTTCGAGTTCGCCCAGGCCAGAGGCGCCGTCATTGTCGAAGACTTCTTCGACCAAATCCACCACGACATCGAGCCGTTTTGGGGCGTCGACCCGGCACGCATGCGTAGCGAATCCAAGCATTTTGAGATGACCATCAATGTGCGCAACGGCAAGGCCACTTCGGGCTCCGACTGGTTCTGGACTGAGATTTGGCTCGACCTGGTCAAGAAGATCGAACATTTGCTGCCCGACATGGACATTCCCCTCAACGCCATGGACGAGCCCCGCATCATTACCCCATTCGAGGACATACAGCACTATATGGCAAAGGCTGCCAAGACGAAGGGTCTCGCGGACCCTGGCAAGATGATTAGCGACTTCCAATCTCCCCCGGCCGATGGTAATATAGACGATGTTGAAGTGCGCGACAAGGCGTGGGAGGGGGCAGAGACGAGTGAGTATCCTGTTTGTCGATCGCGCCGGAAAATTGCACTTATACTAACATGCACGCGCCTCAACAGACCCTTTTTGGAACCTCGTCCGCCGCGGCTGCCCGCCACGGAGTCTTGCCCGCACGACACCCGTACAGACCGACTTTGACAGTACGCCCGTCTTTAACACATCGTACGCCCTGGCGCACTCGTACGAGGGCTACGTCGTCAACAGCACGCTCTCGCGCGACGTATGCCACCAGCCGGACATGCAGGGCCTCGCGGGTATCTTCATTGAGCCGCTAACGACGCGCACAACCAAGGTACTCTTCCCGCTCTTTGGCGGCTCCAAGCTCGCCGTCAACAATGAGATTCTGATTCCGGCCGCCATGTACTACGCAGGCGATCAGCGCTTCACCGGCGGCGACAGCCACGGCGTTGCGTGGGCCGATAAATCGAACCAGGTCATCTGGCGCGGCGTTGCCACCGGCGGCCGCAATCGCCACAACACCTGGAAGGCCTTCCAGCGGCACCGGTTCGTGGCCATGAACAATGCGACCAAGCTGCAGCGCGCCGAGTCAGGCATCGAAGAGCCGGAAAACTTTGCGATGCCCGACGAGGCCGTGTACCAGGTGCAAGCGCAGAAAGAAGGCAAGCTGGGCGACTGGGTCGGGAGCATAACTGACGTCGGCCTGACGGACCTGAGCTGCGAGCCTGCGCAGAGGGACCTGCGCTGCTCGTACAGCGACCACGCCTACGACATCGTCCCTGGCGTCCAGCTCGCGACCCAATTCGACTCCAAGATCCTGCCCGACATTGACGGCAACTCCTATTCCGGCCGCTACATGGCCTTTCTGCGCTCATCGTCGCTGCCCGTCAAGGCGACCGTCTGGCGCGAGTGGCACGACAGCCGCCTCGTCCCCTGGCTGCACTTTGTCCCCATGGACAACCGCTTCACCGACTACTACGGCATCCTCGACTACTTTATGGGCGGCGGCAGCCGCCAGGGTCGCGCCGCCCGCGACGCCGCGGCGGAAAAGATTGCGACAGAAGGCATGATCTGGGCAGACCGCGTTCTGCGCAAAGAAGACATGGAGATTTACGTCCTGCGACTGCTGCTCGAGTACGCGCGCCTGCTCGACGACCGCAGGGAAACGCTGGGCTGGGTCCAAGACGTACTGGCCAAGCCCGCCCTGAGGAAGAAATGGGGGAATTGGTAGTTTTCTTGGTGGGACCCTTGCAACTACCTATTCTCCCCTCAAGACTGATATGAACCGAAATGAGCCGAAATTCTTCCTCTTGTCACCTCTTGAATGCCCAGAAAGCAGATGAACGAGCCCAACTTGTGCATGGCACGAGCCTTGAGCATTTGCTTCTCCAGGGGCCGGGTTTCCCCTTGTGCTCTTTGTTCTCCTGTTCCTTTCTGCATTGGAAATATATCAGCTAGTCGCTGATGATTATACCATCCCCACGGAGGGTTTGGTCATGTTCTCTTCTTCTTCTCATTTCCAGTACGGCGTTGGCGGGCTATTCACGGTGCTTGGATCTGTTTCTCCTCTTCACCTTTTCTATTTCATCCTTTTGCAAGCTTTTGCGGATTCCTCAGCTACCTTGCCGATTTCTGTCTGGCAGATGTATCAAAAGCGAACAGGCCTGTACTTCTACCCATTGCCTTCTTTTTTCCCAATTTTCCACCATAGTCCTGCCTTGTTTGTAGCATCGAGCTGGCTGTGAAATGCTCAACAAAACACTTTGAATCAATTCGTATCGTGTCCTGGATCATGGATCATGTAGCAAAAAAGTACATGGTTCTTGGTTCGGTACGAACCAAGGAAAAAACACGTCTATTGCCCCGTCCATGTGTAAATGCGAAAGTAGTATACAATAATTTGTGACAAAAAAAATGAGCACTCTTAAAAGCCTAGACTCTGTGCGCCAGACTTTGTGGCGTCCTCGTCGTCCGCCGCGCTTTCCTCCTCCGAGTAGCGGCCCAGGAGCTGCGTGTACGCTGGGCGAAATGGCCAATCCATCCACGCGCGCATCACCTCGAGCCACTGCTCCTCGTTGATGCACCGCGCCGGGATCTTGCCTACGCCAGACAGCGGCGAGCCGCCCCTGCGCGGGTCGGTGAAGCTCGGACACCGTCCAATCTCGCTGCCGAAGCCGCCCCAGAGCCGGTCGAGCCCGTCCCCGAGCGGTCCGAGGGTGTTGATGAACCAGAGGTGCAGCAGCACGTCGGACATTTCACCGGCGCGCGATGTCGCGGGGCCGTACTGACGCAGAATAGGGTCCATGGCCTTGGGCTGCATGTCGAGGAGCGTCGTCGGCGCGTTGGGAAAGAAGTCGGGCGGCCGCGCGACGAGCGGCTCGTAGTCTCGCCGGTCCCAGAGCATGACGGGCGGGTCTTGCCGGAAGAGGTGGTAGTTGTCGCTGAGGCGCTGATACTCGGCGGCCTTGTTCTTTGGGAGCCGGGCGGCGGCGGCGTCGTAGGCAGCGTCGCGCGCGGCAAGGTCTGCTGTGCCGGCGAGGGCGGCCGTCTCGGCGCGCTGCCGCAAGAGATTGCCAAACTGGGCGGCAAGCTTTTGCTCGTGCCTATCGCGGTACTCGAGCTGCTTCAGGCGCTGCAGCTCTGCGCAGGGGCTGTCTGGGTCCAGCGTAGCCCGTAGGCGGTCCATTTCCTCCAAGTAGGGCCGCGCGAGCTGCGGCGCCCCCTCATCTGCGAGCTGGATGCCCATGAAGGCTGTCGGTCTCTCAGAGATGAGCGCGTACCTATCCGTCTGGCGATGGGCCGGCATCTTGATCCCCCGCGCCTCCATTCTGGCCATGGCGGCTGCGCAGGATTCCATATTGATCCGCTCGTCGCGCAGGGCCGTGCGGGCATGCACGTCGACGGTGCTGCCACAGACCTCGTGTAGCCACTCGCACGAGAGCTCGGCCTCGAACGCGCTGCGGCGGCGGCGCAGGATGCTGCGCGGCAGGACACGATGCTTGTCCTCATCATTGGTCCAGATGAGGAAGCGCACGAGTCCGTACTGCTGCAGCAGGCTGCTCTGCCGGATGCTCGACATAAACTGGTACAGCACCATAGTGCCGACATTGTCGAACCCGCGGTAGGCCCGCTTAGGGCACATGGACAAATTTGCCGTCACGAGCAGCGTATCGTTGCGCGGCGGCGGTGCCTCTACGTGCGGCGTGACCTTGGTCTGCGCGGTGAAGTGCGACGCGACTACATCTTCGAGATTTCTCCATATAATGCCGGATTTCTTAATCAACTCGACGTTGGGCTTGGATATGAGGTCTTGTAGGTATGGCTGGTAAAAGTCGGCGTCGAGGTCGAGGAGAATGTGCTTGCGCGGCTGCACGGCGTCATGCAGCGCTCTGCTCCAGAGGCCAGCCCCTGGATTAAGATCGAGCAAGTCGCATCCATTGTGTCTTTCGAGCGAGTATCCAATGTATTTGATAATGTCGGCTGCGTGCGAAGTATCAGCGTCAGCAATTGAACAAACGCAGAAAGATGCAGCGCTGCAATGAGAATCGTGACCTACAGCAGAGCTCCTCGCTTACGATGTTGACTCTGCGGGTGTCCACGGACGCGTTCTTATATTTGCCCGATCGCGAACTCCGCCAGAGGCCAGTGTCCAGGAGGCGTTGTGCAACATTCGTCTCGGCCGCGAGCCAGTCGGCGGGCGGCGCGCGACCCCTAGCTTTGGAGGCGACGCCTCTAGTGAGCTGGCTGTTCCGGCATCTCAAGCTACCAAGCAGCCGACGTGCGACAATCCGTCTGTATGTAGAGCCGCCGATCATCGAGCGCTGAAGGGAGCGTTCAATCGGGATATGGGCTTCGAGGAACAAGGTCAAGCCAAGATCTGGACAACCCGTGTGAACAACTTTTTAGTGGAGCCCGCCAAGATCGTCAAGTTGATGGATGCCTGAAAACCTTCATCGCAGCGATAAAATGTAGAAGCATCTAGCCGCGATAATCTAGCTCTGATTTTCACTTGTTGAGTTGAGAGCAAGTCTCTTGCCCGTCTTTGCGCCAAATTGCGGTATTGATTCTGCTCTCAGTGTCGTCCGAGAGCTTGTCCGCTTCTACGAGCAGATTTCGAAACAACTGACGATGGACTTGACAACCTTTCCATACATTACTTTTTTGGATTGCTCCATAGTTGAGACAGGAGGGGTGTTCTAGCCCTTGAAGTTGGCTTCCACCTTTCATCTGGTAATGGAGCACTTCTATCACGTATTAGTTTCTTACAGAACAATTAGTCGCTACGGAATTGTTACAATGCTCGAAATGCTACTCTGTGGTCATCACTAGCATGGTACGATCTACGCTCTGAGTAGATACCCAAAAGTCGGCAGCGCATATCGTTAGTGCCCAATGGCATACTGACCCCGCCGCCGAGTAACATCGCGACGTCTCGTGCCGCCTAGAAGCAATTTTTCCCACGAGATCGGCCGAACCAACCACGCAATGTAACAACACCGGCAAAGGCTTTGGTAGTCCTCAGTTGAAGAGAAATCTTTCGTCGCGAGGGACCGAGCTGGGGCAGGAGGTTATCCACACTGTCGTCACTGCTGCAGGCAGTCAATGACGGCTTTCCACACTAACATCATAGCATGTACCAAAGGCCAGTCGGGGTGAAGAGACTGATCGTTATCAAAAGCGTGCTGGAATGTGATTTGCTGGTGGCCCTATTTTCTCGATGCCTAGCGTGTTTCCGGCAAAGGAAACGCAGCGCGGCGATGGAGATGGGCCCGGTGTTTGACAACCACTCGGAGCAACCATGTGTGTGTGTGTCCATAGAAACGCAGATAGCAGCTCGTGGTATGAGAATTGTGACAGAAAAAGAACGCGTCGAGCAGCATGGAGGCATAACCTGCGCCGGAGATGTCGGAGGCGTTGATTTGATACGGGGAGCGCGCTGCTTTGGTGGCGCAGTGCCGTTCATCGGCACTTGAAGAGTCTGCGCATCTAGCTTTCGCCATCAGTAATGAATTATAAGCGATGACAAAGATCAGAGAATTAGAGCAGAAAGCGCTTGTCTACAGCAAAACGGTTCTTCGTCGCCTGGAAACCCAATGACTAAGTACCTCCACCGTGCGCGAATGAAGTATTCGCCATCAGCACGGGTCACCTCCGTCATGGCAAATGACATAATGTGCCCCCCAACAGAAACTCTCCTCTCAAGGTCCACTACAACTTTTCTGCCACCCGCGGTGCTGCTCCGAGTCTCCTCTTGCTTCCTTTTCCTTCATAAACCACTCAATTGCCCCGAGGAAACTCCTTTCATCTAGATCTTTCCTAGTTATACCATTCATTCGCAATCATGACCTACGGAGAAATCGATCAGTTGGCTATCAACACCATTCGCCTGCTGGCGGTAAGTCTTTTCCCATCGTCTTTACCATAGCTATGACCCCGCCATAGCACCCCGCCATGCTGCCGTGGTAGCTTCTGCTCTCGCAGCTTTGCGCTCGCGGGCGAGCCTCAACCCAAGCCTTTTCAACCGAGACGACTAGGAAATTCAAACTGTGATCACTAATAATACTCTTCTCCTAGGTGGATGCCACTTTCAACAGCAATTCGGGCCATCCCGGTGCTCCCATGTAAGCTCCTCTTCAGATGTCGAATCCAGCTTGCGACCCCGCGATGTTTTGTCCAGGCCCGAGCTGTACGATGGGGAATCATTCAGCTGACTCGTTCTTGCAGGGGCATGGCTCCCGTTGCTCACGTTCTATTCAACAAGTTCATGCGCTTCAACCCTCAGAACCCCTCGTGGCTGAACCGTGATCGTTTCGTTCTCTCGTAAGTTCTACCCTAGCCCAACTGGGTAACTCCGCCAGGCTTGCCTCTTAACAATGTCCACAGCAACGGTCACGGCTGCATGCTTCAGTATGCTCTCCTTCACCTTTTCGGCTACAAGCTTTCCATCCAAGATCTTAAGGACTTCCGCGTGAGTCAATTATGAATTTTTTACCTGCTCACGTCAGACCTAATCTTTCTTCGCACAGAAAGTCGACAGCATCACTCCTGGCCATCCCGAGTCTCATGATACTCCCGGCATCGAGGTCACCACCGGCCCCCTCGGCCAGGGTGTCTGCAACGCTGTCGGCCTGGCTATGGCTCAGGCTCACACTGCTGCCGTCTTCAACAAGGATGGTTTTGACCTGATCAACAACTACACATACTGCTTCCTCGGCGATGGCTGCCTGATGGAGGGTGTTTCTAGTGAGGCCAGCTCTCTGGCCGGCCACCTCCAGCTCGGCAACCTCATCTGTGTCTACGACGATAACCACATCTCCATTGACGGTGATACCAACTGCGCCTTCACTGAGGACGTTGCCAAGCGTTATGAGTCCTATGGCTGGCACGTCGTCACCGTCGGTGACGGTGACAACGATCTTGACAGCATCGAGGCTGCTATCAAGGAGTCTCAGTCTGTCAAGGACAAGCCTTCTCTGATCAAGCTCCGCACCACCATTGGCTATGGCTCCCTCAAGCAGGGCACCGGCGGCGTTCACGGCTCTCCTCTCAAGGCCGACGACATTGCTCAGGTTAAGAAGAAGTTTGGCTTCAATCCCGATGAGAGCTTCGCAGTTCCCCAGAAGGTCTACGACCTCTATGGCAAGCACTCCTCCGAGGGTGCTGCCGCTGAAGCCGAGTGGAACCAGCTTCTCGCCAAATACAAGGAGAGCTTCCCCAAGGAGCACGCTGATCTCATCCGTCGGCAGTCCGGTGACCTCCCTCAGGGATGGGAGAAGTCTCTTCCCACCTATACCCCCGCCGACGATGCTGTTGCCACCCGCAAGCTCTCTGAGACTGTCCTCACCAAAGTCGAGGCTGTTGTTCCCGAGCTGTTTGGTGGTTCCGCCGATCTGACTGGTTCCAACCTCACCCGCTGGAAGGACGCCGTCGACTTCCAGCCCAAGTCAACCGGCCTCGGTGACTACTCTGGACGCTACGTTCGCTATGGTGTCCGTGAGCACGCCATGGGCGCCATCCTCAACGGTCTTGCTGCCTACGGCACCATTCTGCCCTATGGCGGTACCTTCCTCAACTTTGTCTCCTACGCTGCCGGTGCCGTCCGCCTGTCGGCCCTGTCGCGTTTCCGCACCATCTGGGTCGCCACTCACGACTCCATTGGTCTTGGTGAGGACGGCCCTACTCACCAGCCTATCGAGACCCTTGCTCATTTCCGCGCTCTACCCAACTGCATGGTCTGGCGCCCTGCTGACGGCAACGAGACCTCCGCTGCCTACTACGTTGCCATGACCTCCAAGCACACCCCTAGCATTGTCGCTCTTTCGCGCCAGAACCTTCCCCAGCTTGAAGGCTGCACCATTGAGAAGGCTACCAAGGGTGCTTATGTCCTGCAGGAGGTCGAGGGCGCCAACATCACCCTCATTTCCACCGGTTCCGAGGTCGGCATTTGCGTCGATGCCGCTAAGGAGCTCGCCGAGAAGCACAACATCAAGGCCCGTATCGTCTCTATTCCTTGCTTCGAGGTCTTTGACACGCAGTCCAAGGAGTACCGTCTCTCGGTCCTTCCTGATGGCATCCCCATCCTGTCGGTCGAGGTCATGAGCACCATGGGCTGGGAGCGCTACTCTCACGAGCAGTTTGGTATCAACCGCTTTGGTGCCTCCGGCGCCTATAAGGACGTCTACAAGAAGTTCGAGTTCACCCCCGAGGGCATTGCCAAGCGTGCCATCGCTACTGTGAACTTCTGGAAGGATGTCCCCAACGTGCGCTCTCCCCTTAACCGCGCGTTCCAGCAGCTCATCTAAAGATACCACGACAAAATGAGATGACCATGTTTGATATGAGAATGCAAAGCATCAGCGAGCCTGATGACTAGAGCAGATAAGAGAAAAGTAGGACAAGTCTATAGTTGCTTAGCTATTCATATATTTATTTTCAAAACCGATGTTCGTGTTTGTAATTGATGACAGTATAGATATCACCAAGTCATATACCTACTCGCAGCCTCGCTGCACAATTCAGCACAGACACAAAAATTAGTCCCTCAACAAAATGCAAAGGATCTCTGAAAACTCCAAAGACGCCGCTATGATGTATACCAGCCGGTTGAAGTAGGCCATGCAAAGACTCTGAAACATTAGGCACCTTCGCTGCCGAACTCGTTGGTCCAGTCAACTTGCTTTTCAACGTCATCTTTCGACACGGTCGGGTGCGAGTCTTCGAGGGCCACCTCAAAGTCTTGCACGGCCACGTCCGGAGCGAGCAGCTCGTCCGACTTGACGTCGTCGTACGTCATTTCAATCCTATCAGGGTCGCCTGGCGAGCACGGCGTCAGCATGCGGTTGCCGTCTTTCATGACCTGCTCATGCCACGAGTTAGCATCCCTTGATGTGATAATTTCTCCAAAGTGGGGAGATGTAACATACCGCTTTGAAATGTGTGGCTTGCAGAATTTTGCGGACGGGTCGCATCAGGGCGTGCTGGACAACATTGGATATGTCACTGCCGGAGAAGCCATCCGACTTGGAGGCGAGGAGATTGTAGTCGCCGGCCTGCAGTGCCGTGTCGGTGTCGCCAATGGCGAGCTTAAACATGCGCGCGCGCCCGTTGGCGTCGGGAAGGCCAATGTGCACGCGGCGCTGGAAGCGGCGGCGGATGGCGGCGTCGAGCTGCCAGGGAATGTTGGTCGCGCCAAGTACGAGGATGCCCTTGCTGTCGTTACCGACGCCGTCCATCTGTACTAAGATCTCGGTCTTGATGCGTCGCGAGGCTTCCGACTCGCCCTCTCCGCGCGGTCCGCAGAGCGCGTCGATTTCGTCAATAAAGATGACCGAGGGCTTGTTTTCTCGAGCCATCGAGAATAAAAGTTTGACGAGTCTGGGTTGGGGAAGGGCGGTTAGCAACGACACCGCTGCCATGCCTTGCGAGTGGCTCACCTTTCACTTTCACCCATCCACTTGCTGACCAGATCTGAACTGCTGATACTGAAAAAGGTGCTGTTTGCCTCGGTCGCGACAGCCTTTGCCAGGTAACTTTTGCCGGTACCGGGGGGTCCGTAGAGCAGGATGCCCTTCCATGCTTGTCGCTTGCCCTGAAAAAGGCTGGGGAATTTGATAGGGAGCACGACAGCCTCCTTGAGTGTTTCCTTGGCCGCCTCGAGACCAGCAATGTCCTCCCACCGCACGTTCGGCCTCTCCTGCAGAATTGCGCCCGACAGCGCGTTTCTCAGCTTCTTGTTGTCGTCGTCGTCACTCGTGCCTTTGCTTTTGCCGCCCGCACTGGAGCCGTTGGCACCCATGAGGCCCTTGCCGCCGTTGGAGTTGCTGTCGGCCTCGGCCTGCAGAAACTGCTTGAGCTTCTCGGCGCGGTCGAGGTACGTCGCCATCTTTTCCTGCATCGTCGCCTTGAGGGCCTTGTTCTTTTCCCATTTGAGCGCCTTGACCCACAGCTCCATTGAAGACATGTACAGGTCAAAGGCCTTTTGATATTCCTTGTTGTGGTCGGCCGCGATGGCCTTTTGCACCTCGGCGATGGCGCGGTCTCGGAAGTTTGTCGACATTTTGTGCGGCGGGCTCGCTCGTCTCACCGCGACAAGTCGGTGCAGGGAAAATCTGTCTTTCGAGTTGGCGCCACGCAAAACGGGCAGTGAATGGGAACCGGCACAGATTTGGTTCGCGTGTGCGTGAGTAGGCGAGCTCAGGGTTCGGTTTCGACTCTGGGCGTCTGCCTAAAGTGCTCGAGTCGTCATCTGCTCTGTGGTTGCCTCTGTCGCCAACGAGTGAACATTGGCGGGGTAACTAACATGTACCTATCGGGGCACTCCAATGCCGCTCATAGCGGGGCAGTATTTGGGGGAGTTGCGCGCTCCAGCGACTGCAACGGAAACGTGTGAGAAGGATTGAGCATCTCAAGTAATTTATTTATCATCTATTCGAACTAAGGGGATATATTATCGCGGCGAAAGAGAGTAGCTACCTCAATCATCGCCATGGCCACAACACAGGCGCGTCTCCAGGTCCTCTCAGAGGACTATCAAAAACTTCAGCAGGGTAAGTGTGTTGGCAATCTAATCGTGACGACTTCTTCTGACTGCAAAGTGTAGATCTGCAGTCGTCTGTCGATTCGAGACAGAAGCTTGACGGACAGCGTCAAGAGAACCTGAGCGTGCAAAAGGTACCGCCACGGCAGGAACAGTAGACGCGAACTCTAGCTCACATTTCGTAGGAATTCGAGACACTGACTGAGGATGAAACCATCTACAAGCTTTCCGGACCTGTCCTTCTGAAGCAAGAAAAGTTTGAGGCTGAAAACACTGTCAAGGGAAGACTTGACTTCATTGGCAATGAGATGTAGGTTACCCTCGTGATGAGTGGCCTTTGCAGGCAGCAAAACTGACATCTACAGGTCGCGCCTCGAGTCGCAAATCAAAGAAACACAATCAAAGATTGAAAAGAAGCGAACAGAAATCATTCAAGTCCAAACAGCAGCTCAACAAGCTGCTGCAAATACTGGCGCGAAGTGAGCTCAGCGTCGCCTCAGCTTCGCATGGGAGAACATTGCAGATTCATTTAAAGGCTCAGAGGACAAAAAGCATCAATACCCGTACAAAATCTATATGTTGTTCTTTTGGAAGGAATTAATTCGCTAGGAGATGACTTATGCCGCTGCTTTGGCGCAGAAAAAACAAGCCAACCAGCGTGCCATCCGGGTCCTATCAAGAGTCGCGCCAGGTATTTTGATGAATCAAAAATACCCGTGCCGAAAATATACAACGAAGATTTAATTTATAAATTATACGTGAAGAACATGCCCCCATCGGTTTTGAGCTTGTACATCCGCAGCTGGCAGCCCGGACGGCCATCTTTCGCAGGCAGGGCCCATGTGGGTGGCGCGTCATTGTGCACCACTTCCCAGGCACCAGCTCTGCAGCTACCCCTCCACCCTCAAGTCCACCATCGGCAAACACTCTGGCTCTATCGTGGCACATGTAACCTTTGTCACCGACGGACGAAACTTTGCGATGCTCTCCTCTTTCAACCCCTTCCGATAGGGAGATCTGCCGGATTTCGATTTACGAACCAACCCAGTCTCAGCATGGTCGCCTCTTCCACCATGCGGCCTGGCAGACCGCCGAGCATCCAGGAGCTTGTTGCCCAGGCCGAGAACTTTGCCTTCAACATCAATATACCGCTGCGGCACTGGATAAGAACAGCAGAGACACTATGCCAAGAGGTATGCTTCCCATTCGTGCGGCTTGGTGTCGCCGTCCCCGGTCACCGAGCTAACTTTGATGACTAGGCCGCGTTTGCCATGTCCGACAGCGATTACGGCCGAGCCTACATGATGCTATACCGGCACTCTGTTCTTGTGCTGAACTACCTAGTCATGCATCCCGAGTACAAAGATCCTCTTGGTCGCAAGTCGGTCAAGGCCCTGCAAGCTCGCATTGGCGATGTCATTCAAGAGCTGGAAATGCTCAAACCTGCTATTGAGGCCAGCCGCCAGGAATGGGAGCGAATGCGGCCCGAGAAACGACAACGACCCATTTCGACTGACGGTGCAGCGCCATCTTATTCCGCATTCGCGGCGCAGGATCCTACTCTCCAGCGCCAGACGACCATTCTCGACGCCGCGGATCACCAGGACTTGGCCGTAGACCTGGCCCAGGAAGAGCTTGACCGCCGGACGCGCGTGCGCCGGACCAAGCAGGATAGCTACAACTCAAGAACCAAATCGCTCAGACCCTACTTTGATAGTTGGCGAAACGATTACCTGAGCAAAACGGAAGATGTTGATTTGCAACAACAAATGGCCGCAGTTCGCAACAACCTTGATCGCAACACGGAGGCAGTCAATGAGGCGGATCCATATGGCCATGGTCTATCAAGTACAGGGAAGTACCATTATCCGTCGGTTTCTAGACCAAAGCCGATAGATATTCCGCGCGAGCAGCAGCCTGCGGTGCCTCCCAAATTCCCCGCTCTGGTCCCGGAACGGCCGCCCAAAGAAGTGCCGCAGAGATGGCACGCAAATGAAGAGCCTCCTGTACCTCCACCCAACTACAATCAATCACTCGGACCAACTCTACCTCCAAAAGCACCTCTGTCAGCGCCCGCAGTGCCCAAGAAAGAGCGGCTTACTTTCAAGCCGGGCGCTTATCTGGAAAATGGAGATCCTATCAGATCAATGTTTATACCCAGCAAACTTCGAAGGACATTCTTGGACATTGCGGCAAAGAATACGAAAGCAGGTCTTGAAATGTGTGGGATCCTCTGCGGGAGCCCAGTCAACAATGCACTATTTGTGCGTTGCCTTGTTATCCCTGACCAAAAGTGCACCTCGGATACTGTGGAGACGGTGAACGAGGGCACTCTGGCCGAGTATTGCATGAATGAAGATTTGCTCGTGCTCGGGTGGATTCACACGCACCCGACACAGACTTGCTTCATGAGTTCGCGAGACCTGCATACCCATGCTGGCTATCAAATTATGATGCCAGAAAGCGTGGCCATTGTTTGCGCGCCCAAGTTCAACCCATCGTACGTGCAAATATTAATATCGATTTGAGGCGTGACGACTAACGAGGCATAGCTATGGCATCTTTCGATTGACGCACCCGCCTGGCCTGAACCATATTCTCGATTGCAAACAGACGAGTACATTTCACCCACACTCCATTGATAACCTGTACTGCGAGACGGAGCACCCAACAGGACACGTTTATGAGAGTGATAAGCTGCCATTCGAAGTACAGGATTTGAGAACTCAATAAGTAACGAGTATGATACCCATTCTATATAGCGCCACCGTAGCTGAAAATATCAAGATAGATGCGCCGCAAAGTTGATCTGTCCAAATATGTTCAATCCGACTGCGGATTTTTTCCTCTAGAAATCCATTGAGCACGACAGATAGCAGAGATTAAAATAACAAGATAGAGACAAACATAGAAAGCACAGTCTAAGACGATCAGTAGAAATTAAAAGAATGAGCATGAGAAGACTTACCTGCAGAGCTGGTGCCTGGGTGGAAGCGGTGCAAATCGGTGGACCAGATCTAGGTGCTCCGGCTTTTGACGATGATCCCTCCGATTATGTTCCTTCACATTGTGGTGTCGAGAAGAGACGGCTATTTCAGGTCGCGAGGGAAAGAAAGCCTTTTGGGCGTTGTATGGTGCAAGTTGAGTGGCACTTCCTTCCCGAGTAACCGATCTGCTGACCGGGCTCCCGCGGAGGATCCCACACATTTCAATTCCAGACACAATAAATCTACAAAAGAATTAGCTTCTTTTTCTAGCCACACCTTCGGGCGGCGTGGTGAGACTGATGTCACTTAAGGCCACATCAGACGCAAATTATGTTATGGTAAATAGCGGTCATGCATTTTACACCTCTTTAAACGATCACAATATTGCGGTTTTACCCAGTTCAGCTTCATATCTATATCTGGTTCCTGTCTAAGCTTAACCATTTACCATTAAAAACAAGGGACATCTGGCTCGATTATAGTCGACGAGATAGTCGTCGAAATGGACAGGATGACGGCCGCTAGACGCATAGCACGAGTTTACTCCACGGCCTGCCGTTCATTCCCAGGTAAAGAGAGGAAGCATTTTCTTCTGTGTCTCGCTTCGCTCGACGTGGAACAAGGACGACATTCTTTTGTGTCGCATAAAAAGAGTGCGTTTGTCACGAAAGTACGTTTTTCATGCATTCCCTTGTGCGACGAATCGCAAGCACCTTTGTACTTGCGCAAGAAGCATCGATGCGTTGGCTACTCTAAGCTGCGTGCATGCATAGTGACAAACCGCTCACAGCTGCGATCATATCGGCTGTCGGCGCGAGTTGAGCGCATGCCAGAATGATTGTCCGGGTAGGCTGCTTTAAGTAGACGTTTTATATATACTGAATACTCTACAAATGACTCTTGAAAGAGAAGCAGATAAAGGGCCTCTCTTGAAGAAAAATGGAGGAATTTGTTTCAGGTTTGTGTCAATCTTGGTCCGTTGAATATATGTAGCTAATGCGATAATTTTGTAGTGCAAATGCTGCTCAAGTTCGGGTAATGCCCAAGGTGGCCGACATTAATACTAGTAGTATTAATAAATTTAAGCGTAATTTGGAATATAGTCAGCCAAATATCTCGTTACGTTAGCTATTACTTAGAGTTTCGACATTCGGCAAAAGAGGAGCCAGTGATTCGCTGACGGCAATCATCATGAAACCACTAACAAGAAAACAAGCGCTCCTTTCAATCTGTGGCTATAAGTGATGGCAGCTAACTGGCAGGGTTGCATTTTACAACATTTTGAACGTTATAAAGCCGCTCTTTCTTGCCGACCAATCACTTTCTTTTGCAACTTTTTCTCTCATATACTTAACACAGGACTGCGCCGCCTCATTTGTGCTCAACATTAAACCTCTACTTATTTAGCAGAAGACACCCCTTTCACAAGCTCTGCGGATGCTCCTATTTTCAAATAAAGACAAACTGAGAGAAATCATGAAATTCGGGTTGGTCCTTCAGGCTGCTGTCCTGCAGCTCGGCGCCGTCTCCGCGGCCGCTTCGGCGAACTGCACCGCCGACGCCGCCGACGCCGCCAAGGTCAAGCTCATCGCCCCCGGCTCAAAGAGCTGCCCCAAGAGCCTGCCCGACTGCCGCACCGCCGATCAGGCGGCCCCTTTTATCTTCCGCAGCATGTCCCGATACAATTTGAGCAGCGACAACGAGATTGCCGCCGTCATCGCCCTCATGGCGTTTGAGTCGGGCGACTTTCACTACAAGCACAATACCTTCCCGCCGCCGGGCAACCCCGGCCAGGGCACCGCCAACATGCAGTCGCCCGCCTTTAACCTGCTCTACGCCAAGTCGCTCGACGGCGTCAAGGAAAAGGTGGCTGACGTGGAGACGGTTGATGGGCTGGGGCCCGAGAAGCTCGACGAGATCCTGGCGCTCGTCACGCCCGACGAGTACAACTTTGGCAGCGGGCCGTGGTTTCTGGTCACGCAGTGCGCGGCGACGGTGCGCGATGAGCTCAAAGAAGATATCGATTGTGGATTCGAGTCGTACATGGCCTGTGTGGGTGTCAAAGTGACAGACGACAGAAAGGCGTATTTGACGCGTGCAAAGGAGGCTTTTGGCTTGTGTTGAGGGGCCCCCCGAGTGGTTTGCTTGCCAGATGCTTATTTTTCTGCTGCTTTCCGTTGTATATTTTCAGCAAATAGCTTATAGACCAAGGTCGTGAATTCTGTTGAGCCACTGAATTCGTACATGTCTTGACAAGCTAGCCCGACATTCGATTTCGCCAAACTGGTAACCTTATGTGTGAGAGAACACATTAGAACAAGTACGCTCTGCGTTATAGGTAATTACCGTTCTGAGATAACCTTTTCTTTCATTGGCTTCGGGGCTAGAAAAAAATTCCCCGAGTGGCGTCCCTCTGCACAACTCCCCAAACCTTCAACACTATCCTCCAAACCTGGACCTTGGTAAGTATTATTGCCTTTGATATCATGAAGATGAGTACTCTATCTACAGAATAGAACATTCTTATACATATTCGAAGCTACATTGTTCAGTGCACGCTCATGTCCCAATGTCCAGGTTCTTCGAGTCTCTCGCAAAAGAGGCGCGAGCCACGTTGTGCCACCAGAGTTTCTTTAAGCCACGCATCAAGACAAGAAAATAATGGCCTCCGAATAGACATAGATAAGTGTATCTGCGTCTGCTGGTTTTTCCCTCATATCCGTCCAGTCATTGTATCTTACTACTCAACAACATGCAGTTTCGCCCGAGTTGGTGCATCGCCGCCGTGGCGCTTGTTGCGCAGACCGTCCAGGCCGTGCCCAGCATCGTCACCCTTCCCTATGCCAAGTATGACGGACTAGTTCTCTCCAACGGCATTACCCAGTGGTTGGGCATGCGCTACGCCGTGCCTCCAATAGGAAATCGACGTTTCAGGCCGCCCGAGGAACCACTGAGCGAGACTGGAATCCAAGAAGCAAAGGTCCACAGAGATAGGTGCCTCGTGACGGGCAGACCTGCATGCGACCCGGGTCACAGTGAGGATTGCTTGTTTATCAATGTCCAGGCTCCCACCCAGGCCACAAAACACAGCCGACTGCCCGTGTTTGTCTACCTTCGCGGAGATGGGTACAATAATACGCTGACAGACGCCAACATTAATGCGACGGGTTTAATGGTTCAAAACGACAACGACTTCATCGTCGTGACTTTCAACCATCGCCTTGGGCCATACGGCTTTCTCACCGGTGACGATGGCATGACCTCTAACAACGGAATAAGGGACCAAATCAAGGCGCTTGATTGGGTGACCCGATTCATTCGCCGCTTTGGTGGCGATCCTGAGCACATTGTCCTCGGAGGGTCTGGTATTGGTGCCCAAAATGTTCTCATTCATCTCACAATGCAAAAAACCTACAACGGCCATTTCAAAGGCATCATTGCCGAGTCGCCCCCGTTTCCTCCACTGCCAAGCCTCGAACAAGCAGACAAGCAATACCTCGAGTTTGCAAAGCAGATGGGATGCAGGAGCAACGAGTATCCAGAGTGTAAATTCTCAGATCAGATCGGTTGCGACGAGAAAGCGACCCTAGATTGTCTGCTCGCACTCTCCGCAGATGACATCCAGAATGCGGGCCACAACATCACTCTGTCCACCCTCGAAGCACCGCCGTGGGACAGGTGGCTCCCCGTTATCGACCACGATCTGATCATTGACACCACCACCAACAACTTCAGGAACGGCCATTTTGCCCTGGTCCCATTCATCATTGGCAACGCGGTCGACACGGGTACCGCCTTTGCGCACCGCGATAGCCATAGCACCGACGACGTCATCGACTACATGAGTGACCTCTATCCTGAGCTGTCACCCGAAGATCTCGATGAAATCAACACAATGTACCCCAACACCAATGCCAGCTGCGACACTCCCGCTTGCGCCTACGGCCAGATCAGCAACGTCTTCCAGGACTCGCGCTACGTCTGCCCCGCCCTGATTGCGACACAGAACATGAAGAAGAAGGAGATTGACGGGTCCTACCTCTACCTCTGGGACGTCGACGACACATTCGACGGCCCGATGGATCCCAATACCCGGCAGAACATTGAGGCCGCCATGCTCTGGGGCCCCGTCGTCGTCGACGTTCCCGACAGCTTCAAACAGGGCCGCGGCAACGACGCGGTCCCGTACGTCAAGCAGCGCTACTGGACCAACTTTATCCGCTCCCTGAACCCGAACCGCCAGCACAAGTTTCAAGACTTCAAGTACAGCATGACGGCCGCCGGCAAGAAAATTCGTCTCACCCTGTGGCCGCAGTGGTGGGCCGGTTGGCGCAAGCGAGTGGTGTTTGGCAACGGAGGCAAGAACAGGAAAAGGGACACTGGCTACATGAAATGGACGTGCACCTTTTGGAATCGGCTTTCAGTAAGAATGGGCATTTGAGCTGGTTGTGCGGGATGATTGGTTTGGCGGGCGACTGGGTTTGTCAGCACTCGGAATAAAATGATGTACTTTTTCCTTTATTGATGAAAGTTTGAATGAGACTAGTTACTCGACTAGTCAAGCAAAATAGAAATCGAATGTTTCGCATTAAACAGGTCCCGTATTTTTTCGGTCCTGGTCTTGACTGAGGGCAACTGGATTTTAGGGTCCAGCTTCACCGAGTATATCTCTAGCTCCCATGTGTCAATGTTCCTTGACGACGCCGTCTGCCGCGCGCTCTGGCAGAAGAAGCAGACTGTCTCGGCGAGCTTGCCGTGATGTGTAATGACGGCGGGGCGGGTCGTCGTCGTTTACTTGAAGTTGCGATATGGGTGGGGTACGGAGTACGTTTGGACGACATTGACTCCCTCAGCAGCGACCCCAAGTTCCTCGAGCTCGTCGACACCCTCACCCGCGACAAGGTGGACGAGTTTCTGCCGGTACGGTGCCCTGATGCTACTATTATGAAGCGTATGGAGGACATGATTGCCGAGCTCCGCGACCAGCACGACTCCATCGGCGGCACAGTCACCTGTATTATCCGCGGGTGCCCGTCCGGCCTCGGCGAGCCGTGCTTTGACAAGCTCGAGGCTCTCCTCGCGCACGCCATCATGTCGATTCCTGCGACCAAGGGCTTTGGGATTGGCTCCGGCTTCCATGGCGCCGAGATGCGCGGATCCGTCCACAATGACCCCTTCGTGTCCAACCCGGCCGCCGCCAACGCTACGAGCGCTGGCGTTGGCATCCCTGCCTCCCGCCTACACACTAAGACGAACCACTCGGGTGGTATCTAGGGTGGCATCTCCAACGGCATGCCTATTTTCCATGTTACATTCAAGCCCCCCCGCTACAATCTCCCAGGACCAGACTACCGCGCGCTATGATGCTTCCGGCGAGGGCGTGCTGGCGGCGAAGGGCCGTCATGACCCTAATGTTGTCCCTCGCGCAGTATCTATTGTTGAGGCTATGGCCGCTTTGACGATCGCGGACGCCCTCATGGCTCAGCATGCGAGGCAGATGGGTATGAAGATTGCTGCAGCTGGAAGGTAGTATATACCGAGATGTAGTGTATTGGTTTACTATGAATGAACGTGGAGACCAGGGAGAAGCATCAGCAGGTTGGAAAGGGTTACATTAGAAAAGGTGCCGGCTATACATTCAAAGCGTTTGGAGCATACTTGGTTTATTAGACTTGGGCCTTGTCCACGTTCCGTCCTTGTCCAACGGTATCTCCTCGAACAAAGTGGGAGAATCTTGGCATGGCTTCGTCGTTTCATCCATTGCCGCTCTCTCATTTTGGCGACTTTTCGGTTTTTTGTTGTAATTTCTCCAACCTTTGGCTCTGTCCTTTACCAAGCGGCACGGTGCCCACTCTTCGGATGCTGACATTTGACGCCAAATTTACATTGGCTCTCCGTAGTCGCGGCAATGGCCGCCTACTTGGCCGCCGTCTTCTTTTCGTAAAACCGCATGATTCTGCAATGGCATGACACGCCATGACACGGTATTAAAGCGGACTTGGCAGTATAAAATTCATCAATTCATCCAACTGACACTTGTACACCTCCGTATATACCGTATTTTTAGTTCGCAGACGTCAATCATGTGCTCTACGACAGATGGTAGCACAGTAAAGATCAGACGTTGTACGTCCCGGGCGCAGGACCAAAAAACTCCCCCTTTGCTAGATGCTTAAGGCGACAAGCAGTGTTTGAGGGATCCTCACAGTGGCTTTGAACAATGTTGTTACCCCACCAGGAGACCTGGTAGCCCTTGTATGCAACGGCAAAGAACTGGATGATGCCAGAGACGGCGATGCCACAGGACAAGGCGGCAGATAGAACAAAGTTGTACTTGGACCAGAATCCCAGAAATCGCTTGCGTAGATAGAGCCACGACAGGGCCGCGGGAGGAACGGCCGCCCATACGTAGCCAATGTTGTACGGAGCCCATTTAATACCACCAAGGAGCAACAGGACAGGATGTGTTTGGCGCAGGACCCTATGGTGGGGGTACTTTTTCCCGAGCGCCCAGAAAGAGAGGACAACAATGACGCCGAGAGGAAAGCCAAGCAGAGTCGCGGCATATTGACCGCCGACACCCCAAAGGCGTTTCGGGCCAACAGTGCCCCATAGTACCGCAGCAGTGAAGAAGGTGGTCTCGCCCGGGCAGTAGAATCGAAAAGGGGCCCTTTCCGTACAGACATCTTTGAGTGTGATTTGATAAGTCAAAACGCCCACGGCCACAAAAGTGGTGGCGAGCGTAGGGACCATTTGGGCGAAAAAGGTAATGCGAGGAGGAATCTTGAGGTAGTGTGCAAGCTTCAGGTCTTTGGCAAAGGCCTGTGCTTGCAGACACGTAACGACACCATATGTCTTGAAGAAGCACATTGCCAGAGCGTTTCCTTCCACCCAAGAACCACCGATAAACTCGGCCAGAACATTTAGGCTGACTTGCACACCAGTCATGGCGTAAATAATGCCCGTGGGTACAATGAAGATGAGTGTAAGAGCAATTCCAAAGAAGATTGTTCCGGGACTCGTATGAGTAGGGTAGTGAACAATACCAGCAACCCCGACCGCAACGGCAAGAATAAGGCAGATCCCATACCACCACTCGGGCACTTCTTTGTAGGACTTCATGAGACGGTTATGGACATCCAGCACGCGGTCCTCTTCCGTATTCCTCCGTCGGCAGATTGTATTCCACAGCTCCTTCAGGCCCATTGTAATCTCCAGACGGTGGTATAAAATGGCGTAAGTAATGGAGGCAGTGTATACGCCGAAAAAAAACATGTAATTCACAATGCTTCCAGCTGACAGAAAAGGTGGCGAGTAGTCCTGGTACTTTTCAATGTCCATGATTCCTCTGGAATCAAGGACTCGGGTCACGTTATATCGCTTCGCAAAGTGGTCCCAGGGAGAGTTGGACGTGATGGGGAGGTATCCGGTGTACCAGGCATTGCTAAAGTAGATGCCAATCACGAAAAACATGCTAAAGAACATGCCGACAAATATGTTGAAGGTGCTAAAGAAGGGAATGACCAGAGGATCAGAAAAGAACGTCACAACATTCCAGTCAAACGTCGGAATAGGGTTCAATCCAAGACCGTTTCGGGAGCCAGTAATAGTGGTCAGGAGATGATTGTCAGGAGCGATCCAGGTCATCCACGCGAAGATAGATAGTCCAGCGAAAAGAGTATTGGGCACCCAGAAGTAAATGAACATGAGGCCACCAGCGATGCAGAAAAATCTTAGACGGCTCATCTTCCAAAAGGACTTGAAAGGACCAGCAACGCCTGGGTTCGCTTCGTCGTGGAAGGAGGCATTTAGGGCAATAATGCCGAGCGCTTCCGGCCAAACGCAAAATGAAGGATATACAAGGAAGCGTCGGGTGATGCCCGCCAGACTATAGCCGATAAAATTCGTAGAAAGCGCAATCAGCGTCTGGTAACCAAAATTAATGGCCCACGACTGATTAAAGAACTTGGGCAACGCTTGGATCCAGATAATCATGCTCGTATAAGTGCCGCCGATGGAAATGCTGGCCATGATTGTGATGAGCATGTGTTCCTTCTTGTTAAAGGGGCCAGGGTTGAGGCTGTGGCGAACGCCAAAGAGGGTGAAGCCAACATCGGGCAAAACAGTCTCGCAGAACTTCCCCAGCGGAAAGGCCAGCAGCTGAGGAACGTTCGAGGTGACGCTTATGGCGGGCAGGCGTATGCTGAAAAAGATGTTGACGAAGGCGCACGCGACTGAGAGCATGATGCCAATTGCCCAGGCTCGAATGGTGGACACTGGAGTGGTGGGATCGTCGTGGTTGTCGACGACGGCTCGAACTTCGGCGTAGGGCGAGTTATTAGTGATGAGAGCTGCTTCAATCTTCATTTCATCAATGAGCTCCTCATATTTCTCTGGGTTTGCAAGTATGTCGTCATTCTCTTTGGAAAGATGGTCAGTAACATGGTCTGCAATGTACGGCTCGCTAAAGGAGGTGTACGCATACTCAGAAATTGCTCAATTTCTCGAATGATTTCCAATGGAAAGTTGGGATCCCGGCCATGCAGTTTGAGCACTCGTTGCATCATCTAGATGGACTGTTTAATTATCACGCATCCCTCTGGTGGTTCGCTGACCGCGAAACTCACATTTCGCAAGTCTATCAGCGAATAAGTCGCTGCGAGCTCTTTGGCCTCGAGCAAGTCATCTTCTGTGACATCAAGGTGGCGCTGCGTTCTTTTGATGCCCCCTTTGCTGAGCTCGGAGCTCTGGCTATTTTGCCGTGCTTGATCCTGTTGCGGCACCGCCCGGCATTAGCGATTGAGGTCAAGCAGCTCTCGGAGACAACGCCAAGCGCCGCGACGGCGACATACATTCTTCTCAGAGACCAAAAATGGCCTCACCGTGGTGGTGCTGCTGCTTTGATCTGCCTTGTCAGCCATGGCGAGTGTGAAGTATGCGACTCTGGTCGTGAGAACTTCAAGAGTATCAGCACTCGTCTTCACAAGCACTTTGAGAGAATGGGAGAGAGAGGAAGATTCGCCATCGGAGATGGCGGGGGTGGGAACAGAGGGTATTATATATACATCGAGACTGCAGAGTGCCACCAGGGCTGCGAAGATGGGGTGACAAGATATACAGTGCAACAAGGCCCGGAACGGCACAAGACCAAATCGCTGCGCAAACTTGAGTCACTAGTCTTGGCGGGGAGACGGGCAAAAACGTCTCGGCTGGATCTGCAGATGCGCAGAAGAAAGGAGAATCTCATACAGCGGCCTGTAAGAGGTGTTGCAGAGATTGAGCATGTCCGTGAAGAAAATCATAAAGTAATAAACCAGACCTGCTCTGAGGAGGTATTATAAGGTCATTCTTGGTCATTCTTGGCTGAAAAAATACAAAGTAGATGAGATATCTGGGAATCCAGCAACCCGGTTGCCCAGTTGCTCAGCAGGTAGGTGCCTCGGTGCCTACCCGATTCGCCTTGGAGGAGTGGACTCGAACAAACATGGGAGTTCTCGACTTTTCTTTGCCAAGCCGTTGATCCCATGCAGTTCTCACGAATCACGTTAACCACTGCTGGCGGGATCCCATCTGTCATCCCATAAAATGCAGCAACAAGCACCAGTTTCTAGCGGCGCAGAGACAATTTGCCTCTAGGGAGCAGGCTTTCAATGAACACTAAACTGGGTCGTTATGGCGCTGCCAGGATTGTCAGAGCAGCTTCTTCTTCTTCTTTTTTTTTTATAACTTGGGGCCGATATTGAATGCAAAAACGCCATCGATACAACAAGGTTGCCCGGCGGCGCAGACAGGCGTCGTCGAAGAGCTGCATGTCTCGCCCCAGAAGCTTCCAGCGGGTACAATTAGTTGGTCACGGTACAGTCAGTGCCAGCAAGCTGCGGCCTAGAATTGCTCCAGTGACAGCGCTCATACTTGTCTCCGATCGTCCCTCTGCGCCTCCTCCACTGGGGCGTTGCTTCTTTGTCAATGTGTTGAGCCTTGCCTTATTGACAGGACTCGTAATCTGTAATCCGTACAGATTGTCATTTCAGTTTGCTAGTAGCAACGTCGTGTGGGTACTTGGTAGCCAGATTCAGCCTTGTTGCAGTCTTTTTTTGGAACAACCCGGTGCGCTGGCCTCATACTTGAGTCGCCGCGACGTGATGATACGAGGCTGTCAGAATCACCACAGCAAATTGTCGCTGCACTTCAGTATCCCAGTATTAGTGGTCCGTTCCTTCGCGAATCAAGCAAGTAAAAGAATGCAGCAAACATTGATCCCGTGGCATAACCCCCTTGTCAGCACAGCGGCGGACCGCAAGCAAGCAAATCCTCATGGTATCACCGAGGCGCTCATGTCTCATATGCGGTCCCCGTTCTCTTCGCTTGTTTAAATTTTTTTGTCTTGTACTACAATGGGTTTTGTTTCGGGCAATCCCTTTCCAATGCGTCCACGCGGGTGACAAAAACATAAGGAGACTACTGAAGTTTAGCCAACTATATTAAAAAAAATGTTTAATAAACTCTAGGAAATATCTATTTAGTTACAATACGAGTCAGACTTATTTTAGTGCCTATATATTTTAGTGCCTATATTATATCTCGAATATTTTCTTGAATTTATGGTATTTTCTGGTATTTTCTTTCTTATACACCTTTTTTCAAGTATTTTTTTGAACGCCTTGCGAAAATGGGCAAGCTGTTTTGTCACCCCCTTTGGGCGTCGTTAATACTCCTCACAACTGGCCGAGCATCAACCACACGTCTTCCAATAGCTTGCTCATCTATGACTTTGGTTTGGTAGATTAGCGGTTAGCATTGTCACTGCAATTTTATCCTCGACAACGTGCACGACGACGACCTCTCCACCATCAAGCTCCTCGTGAAGAAGAAGAAGTGCATTGGCCGCAATTAGCAGCGTATAACTCACTGCTGGCAACTATATTGGTCGGTGGCATTCGTGTTAGTGCATTGTGCCTGTGCCTAGCTCACTGACACGCCGCCAATCGGGACCTGGGGGGGGATTTTAATCAAAGACGACGCCAACTAAAGGGGTGGAAAGGTTCTACTTGCGCAAAGAAAATGAGAAGAAAATGAGAGAATCAAGGAAAAGTCAATAGAAAGAAAAAAAGACTGAATGAAACAAGTTAAATGATAAGATTGAGTCGATATTATTAGAATAAGCTTTCCAGATTCAACCAACTAGCGGCGTCTCCTATCGCCCACTAACGAGACTGCTTGCCCCCTATCCATATCCACTCAAAGGCCCAGACCGACTAATATCGCATCAAATTTCAATCTCAAAAATCTCCGAGATCCAACTCCTTTTCTGTTTCTGATCAAGGACGCTGCTGGTCTGAATACCACATTGTTAGGTAGAAGACTAGCTCGCGCTTCTCAACGAACTGGATTAGACTTGTCCTTGTGTCCTCTGTAACGCGACGACGTTTATGAAAAGAACGAGCAATAGATTTGCACCCCAGCTGAAGCCATGACGGTCAACAGTATTAGTCCCTCCCCGAGGCCTGCCTCGGCAAGTCTAATCAGCAACTCCAACGCGTCCATTTTGGCGTATTGCGTGGCTTCTATTAGCATGACGGCAGTCAACAAGTACATTTTCTCAGGCGGATCATGGAATCTCACCTTTTTCTGCCTCACGGTTCAAGTAGGTTCCCTCTACAGTCGTCCGACCTTGCAGGAAGCCTTTTACTAAAGCTTGCCATGAGTAGTCCGTCGTCTGCCTCGCTGCCGTGCTCATCGGCAAGCGCTTCGGAGTGGTCACCACACTGGGAGCCTACGACTCTCTCAAGGCCAGGAAATGTATGTTCTTCAATTGCGCAACAACCTCGATGCGCCGCATTGCTGACTAGATAAATCCCCCTCTTCTAGGGCTCCCACTGTCTGTGCTGCTCGTCGGCATGATTTACTCTGGCGCCAAATCGCTCCAGTATCTCAGTGTCCCCGTGTATACAATCTTTAAGAACCTGACCATCATTGTCATTGCGTACGGCGAAAACATCTTCTTCGGCACCAAGGTCTCGCGCCTCATCCTAGTCTCCTTTGGTTTGATGGTGCTCAGCTCAGTCATTGCTGCATGGGCTGATATTCAAGCGGCGATCAACGGCTTGCACTCCGTTGACACGTCGGCTGCCACGGCGCAGCTGGCGGCTGGTTACACGTGGATGGGCATCAACGTCTTCTGCACCTCGGCCTTTTTGATCGGCTCGCGCAAGGTCATGAAGGCATTCAACTTTAGCGACGTCGACAGTAAGTCAAATCTTCAGGAACTCGGGCTTTTCGAATCGAAAGCTAACAAATTTCGTTAGCCATGTTCTACAACAACCTGCTTTCTATACCTGTACTCGTTCTGGCCTCCCTCTTTCTGGAGGACTGGTCGAGCGAAAACGTCACCAGAAACTTTCCGCCAGAGACGCGCACTGTTCTCATCATCAGCATGATTTACTCTGGTCTTGGCACCATTTTCATTTCCTACACGACTGCCTGGTGCATCCGTGTCACTTCCTCGACAACGTATTCCATGGTTGGCGCGCTCAATAAGCTACCCCTGGCCGTCACGGGCTTTCTGTTTTTCGGCGCGCCCGTCACTCTGGGCAGCGTTTCTGCGGTTTTTATTGCCTTTGTCAGTGGCATAGTATATGCGTGGGCAAAGGTGGTGCAGAGTGAAAAGGCCAAATTGGCCCTTCCAACGACGAATCTGACGGCCGAAAAGGATATGAAAATTTGAGTCCGGGGGGGGATTGATGATGCCCCGAATATCAAAATAGATTTTAAATTCGTGTATTATAGTTATAGAGATTAAAGGTTCTCGTGTTATGTGACAACATTATAATCGTTGGACAAGACTCGGTTCGTTTAGGTACGGGGGTGATCACCAAAAAAACACCGATCAAGAGTCGCAAGGAATATTCTAGAAATCAAGATGATGAAGACAATAAATTAGCTTTAATTTATAAGTGTAGAGAAATACGAGGAAATTGAAGTTGATGGTAAGGCTGAGAAAGTTAACGATAAGATTGATGACAAGCTTATGGAAAAGATCATCTCCCAGCATCGCGGCCCACTTGCACATTGAGGATCTGTGAATGCCCTCACATCGACCAACGATGGATGATTTCGCCTGCCACTTCTTGAAACCAAGTCTGCGGCCTTGTCATACCATTAAAAGCTAGAAAGAAAACAGAAATACTTTGATCTAGTCTAGATGATATCCGGAGAATAATTCCTAACTCATTTACCCACATGGGTGTGGAGAAGATGATGTAAACGCCTTTTCGGTGGTTTCATGTGTCAAACGCAAGGTTTTTTTTTTTTTTTTTTCCCTATTTTATGCTTCGCTTCTCTCATTGCTTCTCCTTTGGTTGACCAACAAGAACAATTCACACACAATGGCGGCAGACTACGAGCAGCAGTCTTACTGGCATGAACGCTTCAGCTCCGAGACTGCCTTTGAGTGGCTTCTCTCCTCGTCGGATTTCCTGCGCCTCATCGATCCCCTCCTCGCCAGCCTCGACCGCTCCTCCGAGATCCTCCACATTGGCTCCGGCACCAGCGACCTGCACAACCACCTGCGGCGGCGCGGCTTCCTCCGCGTCACCAACCTCGACTACGAGCCGCTGGCGGCCGACCGCGGGCGGGCGCTCGAGCGGCGCGCCTTTGGCGACGTGCGCCTGCGCTATGCCGTGGCGGACGCGACGCGGCTCCCGCAGGATCTCGTGGCCGCTGCAGCGTCAGACGACGACGGTGACGACGACGGTGATGACGGGCCGCGGTGCGAGTTTCAGCTGGCACTGGATAAGAGCACCTGCGACGCCGTTTCGTGCGGCGGCGAGGATGCGCTGCGCAAGATGTGTGATGGCGTGTACCAATGCATCAGGCCTGATGGGGCGTGGATAGCCCTGAGTTTCTCGGCTGACCGGTTCCGGCTGAGCAATCTGCCGTTTGAAGTCGAGGTGCTATCCAAGATACCGACGCCAAAGTCGAGAGCGACAGATCCAGACGTCTTTTACTGGTGCTACTGCCTAAGACCTAGGTAGATGTCGCTCGCTTTTACAAAGGGGGTCCCATCACACCATCAAAGCCAAGACGGTAGGAATCTGAGACATTATCAGAAGGAGTGTGTATATACATCGTCACGTCACATAGCGGCCGGTAAGCGTATGCCGTCTATCAATGTACAAGATTGCGGCCTGGGGCCTATCAAGCGCCAATCAACCGACTCCTACTCGTAATGGCGGTACCATTTGTCGTCTGGTTGCCATGTACCAACCCATCACCCTCGTTGGCCATCCTCATCCAAGCACTCTCCAAGGCGTGCACGCTGACGCTGACATTGGCACCCTTGGGCATATCGGCCGTGCCCAGGACCATCAAAGTGAGTGGCTGTGTCGCAAAGTACGTGACTGTCGCACTTTCGATCCCGCCGTCGAGGAACACCTCGAGAACAGATCGGTCAATGATGCCGCTCATGCGCCACGAATCTCCATCAATCAGGCTATTCGTCGAGAACTTGTCCGTGAAAAAAACATTATCAAAGCCCTTGGCGCCACTTCGGTCTATAAAGAACGGGGTGTCACCGCCGAGATAGTAGCCGCCGCGCACAAATTCGCCCGTCTGAGGCGCAATGAATGTAAAGTTGAGCGTCGCTGACTGGGAAATTCCGGTTTGAGGGAGACCCGTGATATTTGCCTCCCAGTAGAGCGCGTTCGAATCAACACTAGCAAAGTCAACAGTGAGGCTGCCATTGACCAGGCTGTTGTTGCTAGCCAGCTGGGGGCCCATGACTGGTTCCAAATTGTACGGTTCCGTCACCAGTTTCCAGCCGATCCTCTTTGCTTTTGTCAAATAGGAGCGACGAGGAACCGTCATTGCACTCCGCCAGCCTTCCTCGCCAGTAGGCACTACCTGCGTGTACTGCCAGTTCGAGGCCCAGCCCAGGTAGATTGGGAGCTCATCTTGGGATGTGGTGTAAAAGAACTGGCCAGCATAGTTGTCTTTGCCAAAATCCGCGATCCGAGCAGCATTGTCGACGGCTTCAAAATGCGTACCGTTAAAGTGGCCGGGATAATACTGAGCGACGGAGCCACCGAGCGGCGCTCCTGGGTTCACGCTAATAGCCAGCAGCCACATGTCGTCGTGCTTGTTGCCATCTGAATCCAAGTATGGCATTTGCACAAGGTTTGGGCATTCCCATTGGAGGGTCAGGAGACCAGTGTGGGAAAAATTGCTAGCATGCGTCCACTCCTTGAGATTTGGAGAGGTAAAGATGCCGATTTCGTAGTCTTGGGCATATGCTATGACCAGCACCCAGTGGTCCTTGTACCAGATGACCTTTGGATCCCGAAACTGCGAAGAGTGACTCGGAATGACTGGATTACCTTGATATGGCGTGAATGTGTATCCATTGTCAAAAGAGTATGCAATGGCTTGGGTTTGAGGCCCAGGACTACCGTCTTCGCCATACTCGGCTAGGGTCTGCTGCTGTCAGCGCTGCGCAATGACATCAAGCGATATCAACCAAAGAAGAAAACTCACGTAGATTGCGACGACACCGTTCTTTTGGTTCGGGAAGAATCCGGACGTGTTATTGGGGTCAGTAACGGCACTGCCAGAAAAGATGTACTGAGTCTTTCTAGGAGGAAACAGTGCAATGGGCTGATTCACCCAGTGGTAGAGGTCCTCTGAAGTGGCATGGCCCCAGTGCTGATTTCCAGCAACAATGCCGGTGGGGTTGTACTGATAGTAGAGGTGCCATATACCTAGTTCATCTCTAAACATGCCGTTGGGGTCATTCATGAAATGCTTGGGTGGAGAAAAGTGAATTTGTGGGCGATAGCGGCCGCCATAGTCGCCGACGATGGGCACACCGGTGGGCACATTGGGATCGACATAGGTCGATACAGAGGAGTTGTTTGAAGTCGATGCGGTATTGGCAGCGAGACAGACATTAACGAGGCTCAAGGCGCCGACCAGCGAGATGGACTGCAGCCAATGCATGATGGAAGCGAGGAGAGACGCAGTGAAGCAGGCTTCAAAGTTGGAAAGTGAGAAAAGTGAAGAAACATGTTTCGAATGAGGAGTGGCTTCGAGAAGCTTTTAAGCATGAAAAATGCCCGACTTGCAGGCTCGGCAAAAGGTGAATTGGCGGAGTTGAGAACGACAAAAGCCGGGGAACCGTGACTGCCGGAGGAGGTTGCCCCACGATCCGGTCGCCTGACAGTGGTTTATTAGTGACCTAAGTTTGGTAATGTCGGACCGACAAGAATCGGGAAGTGGATGGCGAGTCAGTCGACGCCGCCGTCGGTATAAACGCCAATTATTTTTTGTATTACTGGGAATTGGGTCAATTGAACGATTGGTCAAGTCTGAGGTCTGCCAAGTGGTGGCATGATATAAGGTGCATGACGCGATGATGGTGGCTGCCGAAAACGGGTGATGCCCAGCACCCCAGCTACTATTTGACTGGCATGAAGGAAAACGTCGAGTGAGGGGGTGAGAACAAAAGCGGGCACCACAACCAAAAATGTAGTCAGAAGAGACGAAGAAAAAAGAAGACACATTGTTTACAGGTTCGAATTTTTTTCCTTCTTAATTCAGACAGCCTTGCGTGGCCTGTTGTGGTGTGCCGCCAGCATCATGTTCGCAGCATCACGACCTAACCTAGAGGTTTATGATGACGTCTATTGACACCAACACTGGCACCTCTAACACGGACAATGAATCACCTCACGACGTCGATTCTTTGTCAGGGTCCTAGTTAGCGACTTACAATGGCGGCATCGGAGCATTGATTCGGCCTGGCTTGGAAATTGAAACCATGTGGTGACGGTCCCTTGCATGGGATGCGCGCGCGTCACTGCATTCGTTGCCCCGTCAACCAGCTAGCTCCCGCCACTTTTTGTCCGCAAACCAAACAAAGGACAGGCAAACGGGGCAGTGCCTTTAAGTGTGAGTGCGTATGTAATGTGATATCAACACCAGCCAACTCGTCTCATCTCATTGTCTGCAGCTGTCAATTCTGATGTTTACATGCCATTTCTTTTTTCGTTGATGCTTTTCTCTCGCGAGACTGGTTCTCGTTGCATTTTCTCATTGACTCTTGACTCAATCATCTAGTCCTCCCTCCTCCAACTATTACCACCGTTTGTCCATTCCGCCGCCCCTCCACCAGCTGTCTTGGCTGAGCCGCATCAGCATTCCAGACACAACGAGCTCAAACAAGCTCCAGCTCAATCAACACAATGGATCACCCAAATACCCCGTCTCGGCCGCCCGACTACAGCTTTCACACTTACGACGACGACCATGATACACCCAACGGCACCAGTTCAGCAGCCGTCAGACTATTGACCTCGGTGGAATCTCCCATGGACGAGTTCAGACAGTATGTACCCGAGAATCGCTCAATTACCCGCCTTTCATCACAGCCGCCGCGTTGTCCCTCGCAGTTTTGGCCGGCAACCAGGCAGAAATCAGTCACAGTTCCATCCGATGATGTCCTGCGTCAAGATCAAGACTCGCGCTGTACTACGCTCGCAAACCAGTCACTTCCACAATCACAACCCAAAACCCAAATTCCGCCCTTGTCCAAACTGCCCATCAGACCAAGCGTTGCAAAGCTGCACAAGAAACCAAATCTCAACATCTCCAACACACAATTACCCGCCTTCAATTTGCCTGCAAAGCTGCCACAGGCTCTTCCGAAGCTACCGAATGGGCCGAGCGAGCGCTTTCTGCTCCAACAGACTTGCCGTATCTCTACAACGTCGTCGCAAGCTCTGTCCGAAAGAGAATATCCTTCAATCATAAACTCACCGCTAAAGCTCCAGCGAGCTGATGGCGATGCGACCTTGCAACCACCCGCTTTGCCAAGTAGCAGAGGCACTCCCGTCTTCAAGTCACTACCATACTCTTCATCAGCAACAAATTGGCGCTTACAATACTCTGATTTTAGTACCTACAGCGATACTTCGGCTCGAAAATCGTATCACGCATATCAGCCCAGTGTCACGTCGTCTCCATCTCGAGAAAGCTCAATCAAGGACGCATCGCGAGCTATGCCTCCCCCGGACTCGACATACGTGCCCTTTGCCAATAGAGACGCCGGGTCACCCCAGAGACCATGGACTCCCTCATCAAGAGTCTCCGAATTCTCACGTCCGCCGCCCACCAATCTCTCATTCGAGCCCTCCGACTTGAACGGTAGCCCGCGGCCGGGCACACCGTCCTCCAAATATGGCGGCAGTCCAAGACGCCCGCTGCCCCCCGCTCCTCTCTTCTCCAACTCAGCTCGCGGCTCGCAGGCCTTTGCCGACGATGCTACAGTGAACATTCCCCTAGACGGCGACGATGTCTTTGGCCCCGGCTCCGACCTCAGCGACTCGCGTCCTCTCCCGACAACTCGCGACTCTTTTCACTCAGATTCCCAAGATACTCTTGATGGGGGGGATGAGGAGGACTTTGAAAAAGTTGAACGTTATGGACCTGCGCCCGACGGTGCCCAGGAGCGACGCGGTGTTCGCGCCCCTCAAATGTCACGAAAGGAAGTCCAGCTCATCAACGGTGAGCTGGTTCTCGAGTGCAAAATTCCCACTATTCTGTACAGTTTCTTGCCGCGGCGTGACGAGGTCGAGTTCACTCACATGAGATATACCGCCGTCACTTGCGACCCTGATGACTTTGTTGAGAGAGGATACCATCTTAGACAATCCATCGGCCGAACTACTCGAGAGACAGAACTCTTCATTTGCATCACCATGTACAACGAGGACGAAATTTGCTTCACACGTACCATGCACGCTGTCATGAAGAATATTTCACACTTTTGCTCCCGATCTCGTTCGCGAACTTGGGGCGAGACTGGCTGGCACAAGATTGTCGTCTGCATTATTTGCGATGGTCGCCCCAAAATTCACCCCCGTACACTTGATGCCCTTGCTGCAATGGGTGTCTTCCAACACGGTATCGCCAAGAACTTTGTCAACAACCGCGCCGTCCAAGCTCATGTTTACGAGTACACCACTCAGGTGTCTCTTGACTCGGATCTCAAGTTCAAGGGTGCTGAGAAGGGCATTGTCCCTTGCCAGATGATTTTCTGCCTCAAGGAAAAGAACCGTGGCAAGCTCAACTCTCACAGATGGTTCTTCAACGCCTTTGGCCGGGCACTAAACCCCAATATCTGCATTTTGCTCGACGTTGGTACCCGCCCTGGCGGGAAATCCCTCTACCACCTTTGGAAGGCCTTTGATACCGACTCTAACGTGGCCGGCGCATGTGGTGAGATCAAGGCCATGAAGGGTAAATACGGCTCTAGTCTCCTCAACCCTCTTGTTGCTTCTCAGAACTTTGAGTACAAGATGTCCAACATTCTGGACAAGCCTCTCGAGTCAGTTTTTGGCTATATCACTGTGCTCCCCGGTGCACTCAGCGCCTACCGATACCACGCTCTGCAAAACGATGAGCATGGGCACGGCCCCCTCAGCCAATACTTCAAGGGTGAGACACTTCACGGCCAACATGCGGATGTTTTCACTGCCAACATGTATCTTGCCGAGGATCGTATCCTCTGCTGGGAGCTGGTTGCCAAGAGAGGCGAGCGTTGGGTTCTGAAATACGTCAAGGGCTGCACTGGCGAAACCGACGTTCCAGGTAAGCCATAATTTCTTTTTTGTTTGAGACGCCTTTGCTAACCCTATTCAGATTCTGTTCCTGAATTCATCTCGCAGCGTCGACGATGGCTCAACGGTGCATTCTTTGCTGCCGTATACTCTCTCGTCAACTTTAGACAGATTATTGCCACTGATCATACCATTGCGCGCAAGATTCTCCTCTACACGGAATTCATCTACCAGGGCTGCCAGCTCATGTTCACCTACTTTTCTCTCGCCAACTTTTACTTGACTTTCTTCTTTGTCGCCGGCGGTTTAACGGAAAAGCAAGTTGATCCCTTCGGCCACAACATAGGAACTGTCATCTTCATCATTCTACGATACACGTGTGTCTTACTGATTGCTACACAATTCATCTTGTCCCTCGGAAACAGACCGCAGGGTGCGAAGAAAATGTATTTGGCCAGTATGATCATCTACGCCATCATTATGGCGTATACTACATTTGCAGTCCTCTACATTGTAATACGCCAGCTGACGGACAAGACGAACTTGCACAAATTCAATATCGGCAACAATGTTTTTACCAATTTGATCGTGTCACTCACGTCGACAGTTGGCTTGTACATTTTGATGTCACTGGTGTACCTGGATCCTTGGCACATGATGACTTCGTCCCTGCAATACTTTATGCTTTTGCCTAGCTACATTTGCACGCTGCAAGTGTACGCTTTCTGCAACACGCACGATATCACATGGGGCACCAAGGGTGACAACGTTATCAAGACGGATCTCGGTGGCGCGGTTGGCAAGGGCCAGACGGTCGAGCTAGAGATGCCCAGCGAGCAGCTGGATATCGACAGCGGCTATGATGAGGCGCTGCGCAACCTTCGTGATCGTGTTGTCGTTGCCAAACCCGGCATTAGCGAGTCGCAGCTTCAGGAAGACTACTACAAGAGCGTGCGCACCTACATGGTTGTAACGTGGATGGTAGCCAACGGTATCCTTGCCATGGCCGTGTCGGAAATCTACAGCAACAAGGGCATTGGCGACAACTTTTACCTGCGCTTCATCCTGTGGAGCGTCGCGGCCCTGGCTGTGTTCCGCGCTATCGGCTCCACCACATTTGCCATAATCAACCTTGTCAACATGATTGTTGAAGGCAGAATGCGGATGAGCCTCAAGGCACCCAAGTGGATGGGCGGCTGGGGCGAAAAGATGAGCGAAGCAGCGAGTAGCATCGGTAGCAGCATCGGCAGCAGCGTCAGCAGCGTCGGCAGCAGCTTGAAGCGTTGAGTGGGGTGTAGCTGCCACAATGTACTGACTCGTAGCTTTTCACCTGTTTATCTGTTGTATATCCCATTGATCACCGATCGTTGTGATTAAAAGAGCTTGTTTTGTGTATTACAGGGCTGGTGTTTTTGAGAAGTTTTTTTTTAGCTGCATTTGTTTACTTTGATTTTTTGCGGTGTGGAAGCTGAGTTGTATATGTTGGACGACGAGAACCTCGTTAAAAAAAGAAATCTGGATGATGTAGAGATTTTCCGAGGGTTTAATGTAGGAAATGAGCTTTGAATAAAAAAGAATTGCATGATGCCCTTTTGGACAAGTTGACATGCACGTAACGAGTGATGATTTTAATCTGTTTTTATATGCCATTTTACTTTTCTGCTAGATATAATGCAACGAAAAAGAGAAGGAGTGAAGAATGAAACAAACTCATCATCATATACATATATGCGCCCGACCGACTGTTATCGTTGCTGTTCAAAGTTTCAATCTCTCTGTATAAACAAGAAGTTGTCGAAAAGAAAAGAAAAAAAAAACGTGCGTAAATGCAACATGACCAACGTAAAGATGCCATGTCATTTCCCAAATCAAGAAAAACGGCTTTTTTTTTTTTCTCTTTTACGCTTCCTCCTCATCCTCTTCCGCCACATCATCATGAAAGTTCGTCCCGTCCGTCGTCGCCTTAATCACACCCCCACGTATGCACCAATCGCCAAACCTTTCCCCCTGCTCCCTCTCCTTTGCATAGCGCCGCAGCAAACCCTTCATAATGTCGAGAATCTCGGGCTCCTTGATGCTCGAGCGGTACAGCTTGTTGAGGCGCTGCCCGTGGTAGCCGCCGCCGAGGTACATGTTGTACGCGCCAAAGGCCTTGCCGACAAAGGCCACCTCGGCGAGCCAGGGCCGCGCGCAGCCGTTGGGGCAGCCCGTCATGCGCATGACGATGGAGTCTTGGCGGAGACCCGCGTCGGCGAGGCAGTCTTCGAGCTTGGTGATGAGCACGGGTAGGTAGCGCTCCGACTCGGCCATGGCGAGGCCGCAGGTGGGGAAAGCGACGCAGGCCGACGAGCTGAGGCGGAGGCCGGAAAAGTGCACATTGTCGAGGGCGTACTTTTTCATGAGCAGCTTGATGGCGGCGAGGTCGTCGTCGTGCACGTTGCTGAGGATGAGGTGCTGGTTGCCGGTGAGGCGAAACTCGCCCTTGTGCACTTGGGCAATGGCGCGGAGGCCCGTCTTCATCTGGAACGAGGGCGTGTCCTCGATGCGGCCGTTTTCGATGAAAAAGGTAAAGTGGTTCAGGCCCGTCTCGTCCTTGACCCAGCCAAACGTGTCGACGTTGGACTGAAACTCAAACGGCCTGGCGGGCTGGAACTTTGCCCCCCAGAGATCCTCCACCTTGCCGCGGAAGACGTCGACGCCCATGTCGTCAATGGTGTACTTGAGACGCGCGTGCTTGCGGTTCTTGCGGTCGCCGTGGTCGCGCTGCACGAGCATAATCTTTTCGCAGGCAATGTGCACGTCGGCGGCCGCGACGTAGCCAAACATGCGGCCCGTCTGCGGATAGGTCTTCTTGTTGTTGTGCGTGGCGCCCATGCCGCCGCCGGCCAGCACGTTGAAGCCCTCGAGGTTGCCGTCTGCGCCCTTGATGGCAATCAACCCAATGTCGTGCGCGTAGACGTCGGTGTCGTTGTGAGGCGGGATGGCAATGGTGATTTTAAACTTGCGCGGGAGATAGGTCGGTCCGTACAGGGGCTCAAAGTCTTGGACCGCCTCGCCGGCGACCTGCGTCTTCTTCTTCTTGTCGTCGCCGTCGTCTTCCGTCAGCCAAATCTCGTGGTAGGCGTTTGTCGACGGCAGCAGGTGGTCGCTGATTTTCTGGGAGCACGCGTAGACCTGGCGATGGTACTTGGACTGCGTCGGCAGCGAGCTGCACATGACGTTGCGGTTGACGTCGCCGCAGGCGGCAATCGTCGTCATGAGCGCGCGGTTGATGGCCTGCATGGCGGGCTTGAGCTTGCCCTTGACGACGCCGTGAAACTGAAACGTCTGACGCGTCGTCAACTTCATCGTCTCGTTGCCGAGCTCGTTGGCAATGTCGTCCATCTGCACCCACTGCCGCGGGGTCGAGACGCCGCCCGGCAAGCGGCATCTGATCATGAAGGAGTAGGCAGGCTCGAGACCCTGCGCTTTGCGCTCGTCGCGCACGTCACGATCGTCCTGCATGTAGGTGCCGTGAAACTTGGTGAGCTGCTGGTCAGCGGCCGAGATGGCGGCGGTGGACGTGTCGGCGAGGCCCTCGAGGATGGTGCCGCGGAGGAAGTTGGAAGCCAGCTTGATGTCCTCGTTGGTGATGGGCGGGGGTTCGTCAGGGAGGCCGGAGACGTTGTCGACGCCGAGGGCCTGCCAGATCTTGGGCTCCCACTCGGCGTAGCCCGTCTGGTAGCCGTCCGGGTCCTGGTCGTCGCCGAGGCCGATATCAGCGAGACGCTTGCCGCCGAGGTTGGTCAAGACGCGGTCCAGGTCCTTGGCCGGCTTGTTGTAGTAGATTTTGTCTTCCTTGCGGGGCCAGTAGTGGCTGTCGCCAAGGCCAAAGAGCGAGTAATTGACAGTGGCCAGATCAAGATCGGTGTTATCCTTGATGGCCTCCCAGAAAGCAAGACCGTTTTGAGGAAACTCTCCCTGTCCAGCCGTCGAGGTAAGAAAGACAATGTTCTCCTCGGTAGCGAGGTCTTCGAGGGGGTAGTCCTCCATGGCAAGAACCGTCGTCTTCAGACCTCGAGCGCGGCCTCGGTTACCAAGCCTCTTGGCCAGAGAGGTCGCGTTGCCGTTGTCCGAGGCGTAGAGAATGGTGAGAGGGGCTCCCAGCAGACCCTCGAGCAGCTGGTTGTATGCGTCCTTGGCCTTGCGCTTCTGCTGCGCGCGCACCTCGGTACCATAGTCCTGGGCCAGACTGGCCGCGAATTGCGGCTCCTTGTTCATGAGCTGGGTGAGTTGGTTGTCGCGCGCGAGAAACGTCTTGAGCTCCTTCTTGATCAGCTCCGAGTCGAGCGAAAAATTGGGCTCGCCCTTTGTCTCGTTATTGGGGTTCCATCGGTACAGGGGCCAGTAGCCGGCGTCGACGGCCTTTTTGGTCTCCTGCAAAACGGTGAGGGGCGAGTCAGACTCGCCAAAGTAGGGTAGGTAGGCCAGAACGACAGAGGGGCCGTCAAACTTGTCCGCCTCGAGCATGGCCTGAAGGACCTGGGTATAAGAGCTATAGACGGCAGTCGAGGCGACGTAGACGTTGCCAAAGTTCATGGCGTAGAGACCAATGTCCTTCTTTCGGCGGTTGGCGTCGGCGTTGGACTTTTCAGAGTAAGGGGTGGAGTCGATGATGAGCATGTTGATGTTTTCGCCAGAGGCGAGGACGTGGTGCACGCCAGAGTTACCGAGGTCGTAGGACCAGGCGTCAGAGCCAACAAGCCACAGTGACTCCTTGCGGAAGAGACCCTGCTTCTTGAGCAGTTTCTGAGCGATGGGCGATCCGTCAGTCTGCAGACGCGAGATGACGTCGTCGGCAATCTCGGTCGACTTGGACAGATCGTCGGCGACGACGGCCCACTTGGCGAGCCAATTCTTGGGACCGTCGGTGATGAAGTCGCTGCTCTTGGCGGCCGCCTTGACCTCGCTCACAAAGTGTTTGCGTAGGTGCTTGCGGGCAATCAGCGAACCGAAGCCAAACTCGGGGGTGGCGGCGACGGTGGACGAAAGGCCCGTGTTTTGGGACCGTAAGGCATTGGCAATGTATGTGCGCTTGCCAAAGAGCTGGTCAAGAATCTTGGAGTAAGCCGTCTCGAGCGCAGGCACGGACAGGGCCTGGTCGCCGCGCTGGGCGGTGGACGGGGTATCGCGGACGCCGACCTCGAGGTTCTGGAGGGGCGCGTCGGAGGTGAGATTCTGGAGGATGCCGCGGAGGGCCTGGTCAGCGGCCTCTGCGGCAATGTAGCCGAGCTGGTGGCCGACAATAGTCTCGACGCCGCCGGGTCCGCTCCTGACGGAGGAGACAACGTCGATGAGTAGCGGGCCCCATTTGGTGGTCCTGCGGTGAATCTGCTCGAGGACAGCGATGCGCCTGACGGTGGCGGGCAGGGTGTCGACAAGCTTGGAGCCGAGCCAGGGTCGGTAGAGGCGCGGCGTGACGATGCCGGTGCGGGCAAAAATCTCATCGGGCTTGGCATTGTCGATGACCTGCGCAAAGGTGGCCGTGTCGGCGCCAAAGATGAAAAGGCAGTTGGCGGCGTCGTCCGGGCCGGTGTACTCGAATGCGCTGTACTGGCGGCCGACGGCAGAGTAGAGACTCGCCCAGATGCGGGTGGCGCAGGTGTAAATGTCCTCGGAGGTGACCGGGGGCGGGGCAGACTCGACGGTGGTGGCGACGGAGGAGGCCGCGCCGGGGCTGCCGGGCTCGCTGGGCTGGCTCGACTTGACAGACGTGCCGGCCGAGGTGGGCTTGGAGGCGTCGACGACGCTCGGGTGCGGACGCAAGTTGGCGACGCCGCCGGCGCCGTTATTGAGGCTCACATCGGGATGGTCCGACGAGACGGCGACGTGGCCGTCATCGGCGTACAAGCTGCTAGCCGGGACGGAGCCGGACTGGAAGCGGCGCACACTGTCGAGGTCGAGCAGGTTAGCGACGACGGCGGGATCCTCAACGGCAATGGGAGCGTCGCGGGCCGAGGTCTCGGGGGCGAAGAAGTGGACAACGCCCTTGCCAGTGCGGACGGCGAGGGCGTGGGCAGTGATGGCCATGTCCTGAGCATCTTGGAGGGCCTCGGACTGGACAAAGGTCCAGCCGGCGTTGCGGATGGCGGTGATGACCGAATAGTCGGCGGCGCGACGGGGCTGCTGCAGGGCGACGTGCAGGACGACGGGGTAGTCGGCCAGCTTGTAAAGGTGGGTTATGCCGGGCAGCAGCACCGAGGAGGGCGCGGTGACGGAGACGAGCTTGCCAGCGCGGATCGGGGAAAAGACGGAGAGCAGCGGGTCAGCATTATGGCGGACCGGGAGGATCTGGGAGGGGTGGAAGGATTAGTGATGCAATTCAAGGCGAATATGATTCAATTGAGGGGGTAGGAGGAGGGTATGAGACGGAATGTCAGATGGGTTGGTCGGGTCATCGGGTGACGTGCTTCGGGTCGTCGTGCACTCTTTTGAAAGCAGGTGAAAAAAAAAGGTGGTGGTGGTGGTGGGCAAACGCAGAGGACTTACATGGGGGACAGCGCCAGCGCCGGCAGCGACGAGACTATGGTCCTTGCGGGCAGCATATCGCTTGAGATGGGTAGAGAACTCGGAATCGGTTGCTAGAGAGGGCTGTACAGAGAAAACGACGTCGGAGGCGAGATAGGCGATTCTGGCGACTATGTGGTTTTTTGTTTAGCATGTGGTGTTGCGTTTGCCGGGCGCTGCAAGGAAAAAACGAACGTACCGGCCTCTTCTGGCGTGCGCACCTTGTGCTGAGCAGCCTCCATTGTTGCAGTGGTGCTTGTTCCCTCGGTGACAGACGAGAGGGCAGCAACACGACAATTGTGGAAGAATGGGAAGCAAAAAAAGGAGCAAGGGAAAAGAAAAAGAAATAAAAGAGGTAGAGGAGGAAAAGATTAAAGAAGAGAAAAGAGAGAAAATAGGGGACTGGTCATGGGAAAATCAGACTTTCTGGAACGGGCGGCTGGCACATGGCGAGCTCCCTCGCTCGCCCGCTGGAAGGCTTGACGGTTTGCTTGTGCTGGCTGTGGACTCGTGGTTGCAATTGCTGGGGGAGTTTGCTGTGGAGACCTGAAAGAGGCAGATTCCTCCCGCAAAGCAAATGGAGAATAACAGGTAAGTACCTACACTTAGTTAGAATGCACCGCCGAAACCGCCCATGACAACAGTACAAGCAAGTAGAAGCACTAAATTCAGTCGTCGCCGCATGTGGACCCCCTCCAGAACTTCCTCCAGTAGCCCTCGAGATAAATGCCCATTCCCCGCAGGTCAGCCAGTTTTCTCTGAATTGCGTGATTGCCTAGTGCATTGTACGTGCTTTTCTTCTTGCGTTTCCAACTAGCAACTCATTCAACACACGACACGGCTATGCATCTTTCCGGCCGTCTTGACATACATCATCGTAAAATAACTAGAACAATATGGATTCTTTTATTCTGGGTGGTTTACAAACTGTTCCAGAACCCTTCCTGTACCAGCATCCAACTAATGGGTGTTGGCTCCGCCCTCCCATCGCCCAACGTAGATCGTACATTGCCGCTTTTGGATTACAAATGGCGCCCCGTCATTCGCCAACCACAAATCGCCCGTCAACTACAACCAAACTCCAAACAAAATATGCTTTCTTTTATACTCTCAGCTCTACCAGTTGGAAAACAAAAGTAGGAGAATAAAGGACTCGGGTATTGATGGGAATATTACACCAAACATCATCAAATAATGTCCATCGACTCTATTCTATCCCGACTCTGCCCCCCTCCGCCCCCGTCAAATACACCTTCCCACCCCGACTTCCGGCATGGTCTCAACCACCGACGAACCGAGAAAATAACCTCTCAGCCCATCACCAAAAATTCCGTTCCATCTCTCTCCGAACGCCGGCAAGATCCACTACAGCCCCCAATATCCCCATCACCAGTGCACCACATCCAATCCTGTCCGCCACTTTGCTGCGAGCGCTTTCTCCCCCAACATGTCGACTCCCAGGGTCGTAATGGTGTCATCTAACCCTGGTTCGCCTTCGTTTCATTGTCTTACCAATAGGACCGACACAAGTGCTTCCAAACAACAACGGTGACTTGACCCACATTTGCTTTATTCTAGCCTCACGAGGCACCTCGCATCTTCTCATAAAATATACCCAATCTATTATATGTCGTGTGCATTAACTCTTCAACCCAAGAGATCGACTCTAAAGAATATTTACACCTATCGAATACTGGCCGGCTGTCAAAATGAAATGCGCCAACGCCTCCGTATATCGCTGTCAACGAGATGCGGCCACCCAGTCTTCATCTTCTCGCGCTGCTTTCTGCACGCTCGTGACAACTCCTGTATCTTACATGGCGAGCTGGCGTGGTATCAGCTCAATCGCGGGCTCCGTAGGGATGGACAAGCATCCAACTCTGTCCCGCTGGCACAATATATACCCCAGCCCATACTTAGACCTCGCCAGCAAGCGTGCCCGGCTCATTGATCTTGCGCTGCCTGTTGATATTCCCGCTCCATCCATTATCCTCCAGATGCCCCAGCCAGTACGTCCGCCCAAACGACACCATCACGCGGCCCAGCCTTCCTCTCCTACCCTCGCCGTCTGGCAGGTCCGGCGCAAACGGCCCGTCGTAGTCGTCCACGCCGGGACCCTCCATAATCATCAGCTGCATGTACTTTTGCAGTGCCTGTCGCGCGTACGCCATCACCACCAGGCTAAAGTAGACTCGGATCAGCGTCACCGCCACGATGAAGATCATGCTCATAGCAGTCTCCTGCGGCACCACCTTGCCATGGATCGCGCTTTCCTTCTTCAGCCCCTCGATGCTCTGCATCACTGTGCTCGACAGCCCAGACGGTCGCATGTCCGAATCGGTCGCCGTGCTGTGAAAGTACCAGTCCAGCCCAAACGCCGCCGTATACGCCGCATTGATGCACGCGTCCAAAATGTATACCCACGCCAGCGCCAGGCACTCAAAGGGACTCTGTCGTCGAATGTGCGGAATGAGGAATATAAGCAACCCGAGTACGCCGATAGAGTACACGTATGTCGATAGCTGCAGAAGTGACAGCTGGTACCCAGTGAGGATCGCAAGGAGCCCGTACACGCCCGTCACCTTGTTGAACACGAGCGCCAGCGAGATGAGCTCCGTGCCCGTCTGCAGGCTGATGCAGCCGAACAGCTTCTACCCGGCGTCGAAGAAAGCGATTAGCAAGAACATGCTTTTGTGACCAGCCCCGTTTGACAGGCTCCCACCAGGCATCCTCCCAATTCTGCCAGTACGGTGAGGGGCGTGGTCCGTGAGATGTCAACGTACCGTGGGTTGCGGCACGCGCAGGTATAGTCGTGTAAATTTGGACATGGCGGCTGTGAAATCGCTGCGGTTTCCAGAACAGTCGGTGCTCCGAAATCAAGCCAAGGGGGAAGTTGTAATGAATAAGATTAACTATGAAAGAATGGCAGAACCTAGTCAGGCGTTGGGAGTGCTGCATGGGATCTGCCATCAAATTAGACCCACTTGGTCCGTAGCTGCCGAGATCAAGAATGCAAAAAGGATTGGCTGGCATTGCCCAAGATCACGTGTAAGATCATGTGATCCTTCACAAATTCTGCACAAATTCTGTAATTAGATGACGGAGGTCAGAACGGTGGGGTCCGGTTCGGCCGGAGCAAATAGCAATGGCGTCACAAGCCATCCACTCTACCAGCTCTGCTTAATCTGACTGGATCTCTAATTATATGCAGAATTTCCACGGGCAAATAGCTCTCAATCGCTTACAATCGCTTACGGAGATTTTATCGATTTGAACTAACTAGCTTGCTACGCAACTGCCCCGCGTCTTTTCTCGGATTGCCGTTACAGTTTCACTCACGCTCTGTGGATAATTTCTATGAGACGGATTGCCCGCATCAACCATCACATTCATACGCCATCTTTCCACTTTCGATCCCCGATCACCATATCAACCGCGCAACTTGCTACCGGCAGACTATACCCATCGCAAACCAGACTATACCCGTCGCAAACCAGACGCTCAACTCTCCAGAGCACTAATTCAGCCTGTTTACCCTGCACATCGCCCTCACTCCCTCGTCCGTCACCACCGCCATCCCGCACCATGGCCAACGACGCTGCCGTCCTCATCGAGTCGTCCAAAAAGGCCGCCGCCTACCAGGCCGTTGACGACTATCTCCTCCCATCTTACAAGTTCATCGGCATCGGCTCTGGCAGCACCGTAGTCTATGTCGTCGACGCCATTAAAGCAAAGGGCCCCTCGTTTTACGGTGACATGACCTTTGTCCCCACCGGCAGCCAGTCCAAGGGCCTCATCACCGCGGCCGGCTTCCGCATGAACAACCTCGACGAGCGTCCTGTCGTCAATGGCAGAGCCGTGGCGCTCGACGTGGCGTTTGACGGCGCGGATGAGGTCGACGAGGAGCTTAACCTGATCAAGGGCGGCGGCGCATGTCTCTTTCAAGAAAAGCTCGTCGCCACGGCTGCCAAGAAATTTGTCGCTGTTGCCGGTAAGCTTTGTCCTCCATTGCCAAGAACGTGAAAAGAAAGAAAAATGCACAAGAACAGAAATGGAGGCTAAACTCGAATACTCTAGACTCGCGCAAACAGTCACCCCGCCTCTGCACAAAGTGGAAGACTATCCCCATTGAGGTCCTCCCAATGGCCGCTCCCGATGTCCTCACCAGACTCATTGGAATGGGCTCGACGAATCCTGCCGTGCGATCTGGCTTGCCCAGCAAAGCTGGCGAGTGCGTGAGCGACAATGGCATGTGGATCATTGACGCGCCGTTTCCCTCCTTGCTGCTGCCCAAGGACCTCAACGATAGCCAAGACGGCTCCGGGCAAGGCGGCATCTGGGAAGTCAACAAGCTTGCCGACGCTCTCATCAAGCTGCCCGGCATCGTCGAGATTGGCCTCTTCTATGGCTTCAATGGCGACGAGGCTGTCAAGACGAACCAGGTTCTCCCCGCCCAAAAACCCATTGCTGCCTACTTTGGCCTGCCTACCGGCGAGGTTCAGATCCAAAAAGCAGCACAATAGACGCTGCTGCATGTCCTTTCGTGAATAATGGGCGATAAAAGACACTGAAAGTCACATAATGCCTCGCATAACTGATGCATCATCCGTGTATGCCAAAATGGTATTAGTTTACATATATAAAGATCATAGGCTCGTACTTTTGGTTCGGGACTAATAAAACCAGCTCTATGCTCAGATGCGCCAGCCATGCACGACATGCCCACAGCGAGTGGCTGGGCTTAGTTGACGCAACACTCAACGGCTCGCAATTTTGGGCCGGTACAAAAATTCCATGTCCACATCATCTAGCACGAGCAGCCCTCCTGAGCCTGCTGAGCAGTGTTGGTCTTGACGTCGATTACTGCCACCGCGTTAGAGCAATTCCTTCGGTAGAGACACATGTACATACTTTGGCTCGAAGCTTGTGCAGCAGCATCTGTGCCCTCCATTCCAGGCAGGGCCTGCGCTATTCTCTTGAATAGGTGCTTGACGTTGTGGCCTAGCTTGGCACTCGTCTCGACAAACATCAGGTTGTTCTTCTTGGCCTCGTCTTCACCTTGTTGCGTTGTGACCTCGCGCTTGTCGTTTAGATCGGTCTTGTTACCCACCAGAACAATGATGACATCGTTGCCTCGCTCAGCCCGAACATCGTCGATCCATTTCTTTGTGTTTTGAAACGATTTCGCGTCTGATCAATCGATGTCAGCCATTTGCCAGCCGCCAAGCTGCCGCGTTACTCTTACTTGACACATCGTATACAACAACGGCGACACTAGAATCACGGATATAAGACGGAATCAAGCTGCGGAATCGTTCTTGGCCGGCCGTGTCCCAAAGCTGTAGTCGTACGGTCCTGTCCTCGAGGTACATGGTCTACCGTAGCTTGTTAACATCGGGCTGGCAAACAGAAGTGGTGTAGCGCATGTATCTCACCTTGGAGAAGAAATCGATACCGACCGTGGCCTGATACATGTTGTCGAAGCAGTCGTACATGAATCTCGTGATCAGCGCCGTCTTGCCGACTGTCGCATGCCTTGTTAGCAACAGGGGAACCCCTCTCACCGCACCAACGCCGCGCAAGCCAACTTACCACTCTGCTCGCCGAGAAACACCAACCTGAGGCAATTAGTAATTTTTCGGATACGGTAGAATCGGCCAAACGCACTTGAACTTCTTCAAGGGGTTGTTGTAGGAGCCGCCTGCTTGCGCCATGTTGGAATCCGGGTGCCTGATCCACGCAGACGAGAAGTAGCTTGAGCAGGTTGCGGCGCTGGCGAGGAGTCGTTTGGTTGGCGAGCGATCGTGCAGGCGAGGGAAAAGGGGCCAATGTAAAGATGATATTGTCCGCCCAAATAAGATTGCACGATGCAGGTCGAGGTCGACTGTGGCGGAGTTGATTGCGGAGAGAACGGAGGGTCAGTTCCAATTACTGTGCGCGCCTGGCGTAACTTACTCTGAATCGGTAAGAGCACCTAAGCACAGTGGACAGGCAACGTTCAAAGCCAGGCCCCCTAGAAAATGCACGTGCCGCGCACCACAGCGCTCAACCACCTGAGCGCTCAACCACCTGTAGCTTACTATATCGAGCCGTGCTAATTGTCGGTCAGCAGAGGCCGATAACACTGTGCGCTAGAGGGGTTATCGCGGCCCCATAAAAAATTCGAAAGTTGGACGGCGCAGGTCGACAAAGGCGCAGGCCCCAGACTGGCATTGCAAAACTAGTTGGCCATTCAAGTTTGATACCACGCTTCTTGACTGCACACAATTCCAGTCAAAATGCCCGTCATAAAACCGCTGAGTTCCGACTCGCACGAGGCACCGAGTCAATATAAGCAGCCATCCAGAAAAGGCAAGAAGGCCTGGAGAAAAAATGTCGACGTGACCGAGGTGCAGAAGGGTCTGGAGGACTTGAACGAGGAAATTATTCAAGGGTAAGAATCAATCTTCGCACTTGCGAAATTGTCCAAATGAACGGAATCATGAGACGCTGACGCTTTTTTGCAGTGGTGTGATTCGTGAACGAGACTCTGCAGACCTGTTCGCCGTCGACGTCAAAGGTGACTCGCAAATTTCGAAAAAGTTGCCGAAACATGCCAAAAAGACCCTCAAGGCCGATGAAATTCTCAACAAGCGATCTGCTGTCCCGGCCGTCCCCATGCGCAAGCGAGCAAGCGACAAGACGACCAACGGCTTGCTTCCCGTGAAGCGTCTGCGCACCGACTGGGTATCGCACAAGGACCTGGCAAGGCTCAAGCGAGTCGCCGACGGCCAGCACGATACCACGATCCAGGTCAATGACGCCACATTTGACCTGTGGGAAGCGCCCAAAGAAGAGAAGCCCGAAGTCAATCTCGACCACACAAAATTAACCGTCAAGACGCCCAAGACCATGAAGCAAGCGCCCATCTCCCTGGTCGCCAGCGGCAAGGCCGTGCCGGCCGTCCAAAGGCCGTCCGGTGGCTACAGCTATAACCCTGTCTTCACCGACTACGAAGAGCGCCTGGCGACCGAGGGCGAGAAGGCGGTCGAGGATGAAAAGAAGCGCCTCGCGGCCGAGGAAGCCGCCCGGCTGAGGCAGGAAGCGGCCGCCAAGTCCGCCGCCGAGGCCGAGGCGGCTGAGGAGCGCGCCAACATGTCCGAGTGGGAGGAGGACTCGGAGTGGGAAGGATTCCAGAGTGGCGTCGAGGACACCGGCAGCAGCAGCGCGGCAGCGGCGAAGCGACCCAAGCGCAAGACGCAGGCCCAGCGCAACCGCATCCTCCGACGCCGCCAGGAGGAGCAGCTTGCCAAGCACAAGGCCGCCACCAAGGCACGCCGCATCCAAGAGGCGCGCATTCGCGAAATCGCCGAGGAGCTCGACAGCTCGGAGCGCGCCGCGCTCGAGGCGTTGCTGCGCGCCGGGGACAGCGACAGCGAAGGCGAGCTGCCCGGCACCGGGGAGAAGCTGCGCCGGCGGCAGCTCGGCAAGTACAAGCTGCCGGAGCGCGATCTCGAGCTCGTGTTGCCCGACGAGCTGCAGGATTCGCTGCGTCTACTCCGGCCGGAAGGGAACTTGCTCAAGGACCGCTATCGCAGCCTGCTCGTCCGCGGCAAGGTCGAGAGCCGCAGGCACATTCCGTTCCACAAGCAGGCCAAGCGCAAGACGACGGAGAAGTGGACGCACAAGGACTTTGTTTTGTAAAGCGAGACGAAAAAAAAGGAGGACGGAAAAGTAAAGAGGGAAATTTGGGTAGGGATTCACATGTTACTGGGTGGCATGGGTATAAACTTGCGAGTTGCATATTTCATACTTGCACAATGTCTGGTTGTCTTTTTCTTTTCTCTTTTTTTTTTCCAATTGTTTAATTTGTTTCAATTTACGAGAACATGCAGCAAATACCATGAAAACAACTCTCAAGTCGTGCGACGAAGTACCCAACGTTTGTAAAGAGAATAAAAAAAAAAGGCTTTGTGCCATGGAGGATCCTTGTTCAAGAGTCTTTTCTGCAGCCTCCCCTACAGAATCTTGACATTCATAAGCCATGTAAGAGTCTTCATCAAGTTCTGCAACCTCTCCTTGTACAACTTTTAATGTCTATAATCCATTCCCTCAACTCACCCTTTCGCACTCTCTAGAAACTCATAAGATCTGTTGTAGCAAGTTAGCCATTATACTCCGATTGTTCAACATGACCTGGAGAACTTACCTCTGCCAAACAGCCCCCTCTTGGCCCAGTCCATGGCCAACAGACATCTCGTTCGGAAGCTCACACTCTGCGCAAAATACACCGACCGCCAGGCGTAGACGGCCCATAGACCGCCGGTAAAGCTCCAGCCGTCGCCGAGGTCAAAGACGGCCGAATTGCCGACGTAGGCCAGGCTGCCAAGGTGGCGGTACTCAAACGCCTTGAACGCGGCCGCGTCGACATCGCCGTCGCGAATGTCATTCACCTCGAGCCCGCGGGAGAGGTGAGCGAGTTTGTTGAGCTTCTGGCCGAGGTACACACCCTGCTGATTGGCGCGCTGCGCCGTGGCGGGGAGCGAGGTGAGCTTGCTGTCTATCTGGGCGAGGAGCTCGCGGAGCTCGCCAAAGTCAAGGGTACCTGACTGGTCCTTGTCAAACTCCTGGAACAGCTTGTCGAGACGCCGCAGGTGGGAAACGGCCTGCGGGAAGCGCTGCTTGACTTCCATGGCTACCTTGCGCCAGTCACTAAAGTGCAGTTGCACCGTCTCGGGGTCCTTGCCGCGCTTGTAGGCGATGCTACGCAGCACGCTGATGATGTGGTCTGCAACATTGTTTTGTACAGTTGAGCAGTCCCCAATAGCATATACATCGCCGAGAGGGGATCCCTTGAGGCGCAAATGGGTATCGGTCTCGAGGGCTCGTTTGTTTGTCTGAAAGTCGCCAAGCGTCTTTGCAATCCTCTGTGCGAATTCCGTCTGCGACACACCGGTCGACCAAAGACAGAATCCAATGGGGAGCTCCTTGGTGAGATTGGAGCCATCAGGCTGCTTTTGCGAGAAGACAATCTTGTCTGGGTGAACCTCTTGCACGCGCGAGTTGGTCAGGACGTCGACGTGGTCACGAGCGAAGCGCTTCTCGGCATATTTGGAGACTTCCTCGTCGTAAGTGTTGAGAATATGGCTGCGACTTTGAATTAGGTGCACGGAAATCTCGTTGCGCAGGAGACGAGGAAAGTTTCGTGTCAAATCTTCATTCAGCAAGTCGTAGAGCTCGGCAGCGAATTCAACGCCAGTGGGGCCACCACCGCTGATGCAAAAGGAGAGAAGACGGCGACGCTCAGTATCCGAGGTTGTGGGTAAGCAGGCAAGCTCGAGGTTGTGAATAATCTTGTTCCGAATCATCCGGGCATCGTTAATGTCCTTCAGGAAAAAGGCGTTCTCGAGACCTTTGACACCGTGGGGGTTGGTAACGGAGCCGACGGCAACAACCAGCTTGTCGTAGGGAACGTAAAAGTGTATCTTTTTCCCATCGAGACCCGTTTGCGAGACTTCGACGAGCTTCTCGTTAAAGCATACATTTTCGGCGCTAGCTCGAATAAAGTGGCCGTGGATTCGGCCGAGCATGCGGCGGATCGGCTCGACGAGGGATCGAGACTCGAGAGTTCCGACGGTGGCAGAGGGCAGCATGGGCGTAAACAGGAAGTAGTTGGTGGGCGAGATGACGGTGACGTGGTAATCGTCGGGGTTGAGCTCCTTGATCAGAGCGACGCCGCCCCATCCACCTCCAAGAATGACGAGCTTGGGCTTGTCCTGGCACTCGCTCTTGCCGTTATTGTCATTGTCATCGATGAGGACGTCGGCAATAGGCAAGTTTTTGGGACCACCGCGGCGCGGCTGCAGTGCGAGCTCACCAACCGTGATGTCACCGGCATCCGCGCCCTCCTTGTACGTGGTGGCATCGTAGATGAAAAAGGCCGCGACGAGGATGCCGCCGACGGCAATGGACGTGCCGATCCACGCCATCATCCTGTACGCAAAGTTGAGAGTCCACGACTGTCGCTGAGGTAAGGGCTTGCCCGATATAGCGCGAGCATGAACAAGGACGGCGGGACGTTGGGCGCGTCGTTGGCCCTGGGCGGCCGTCAAGGTCGGTGACGATGCCGCGCGGTGAAATTGGGCAATGTTTCCAGACGCGGGCGCGAATCGCGACACAGACTGAGCCGACAAGCTGCAAGGCAATGCCCCAAGAACTCGACGGACAGCGGCGCCGCCGATGGGACGAAGCGGCGCAGCCATGGTCGGCGCAACCAGGTGGCAGCTCCGTAGAAAGACACAAACACGGCCGAGCAAGCTATCTGAGCTTGGCAATCGAGGGCTGGTCGTCGTAGGCGATGGAAACCAACTTTTCGAGAGCAATTGGTGCAGAAAAAGGCAAGTGCAAAGCAGTAATGGATAACGAGTGGAGGAGAGTGAAGAAGATCAAATACGAGGCAATCCGTAACGGAAGAGAGCAAAGATGGTTTGCTGAAGCTGGCTAGTACGGCACAGGTAGTTGCGTCATAGGCGGGCCAGCGAACAAGAGATGCAGTTGGGGCGGGCTATTCGGGCCTTCAGCCACAGTGGCAGCCAAAGTTTCGCCTTGACAGCAGATTTTTTTTTTTTTTCCTGCGCTGGAATATTTCAAAGGTCTACACACAAAGTCGCGAATAATGCCCTCCGTTGGTACCTAGTTGAAAAAAAAAAAAAAAGATAAATATCTGTGAGCCTGCTTTACATGCTCTTCCAGGCTACCTACAGCTGTAATAAAAGCACTGTGGCCGCCTGTGGGCCGTCTGAGAATTGGCGCGAGCTCCACTGAAGGACGCCATCTCAGGGCTGTCGAGCTGTCGGGCTAGTGGCAGGTTTACTTTCCGGCTGCTCCGTGGACAGATAACGCTGAGCGGAAACGTAGCAAAAAAAGACTCATGTAGTTCTTTTCTTGTTAAGCGCTTATCAATTGAGCTGAATTTTCTGATCGAGCGTCACGTCGCCAATTTCGTATTCAATCTGTTGCTTCCGGCCGGCCATCCCATGCACCAACAGATTCCCGCGGACGTAATTTCGGCAGCCCGAGCTCGGATCCGATAGCCAAGATGCGCACCGATGAACTGCGGCAATGACTTGACCAGATAAAGAACCCACATATATTGAAATCAGACAAAAGTTCAACTTGCAACCTGCCAGACCGCTATACGATCAAGTACATGCCCAATGCTATATGCAAAAAGTAGTGCCAAGTACGCCATTCCCTGGGAGCGCTTCCGATCCATCCAAGCAACGCAGGGCTTAGCAGCGGAAATAGCGCTTCTCAACCCATCGCTGCTCCTGATCCGCCAGGATATTCACCACAACCACCTTAATCTCGGGAAACACAGTCATCAGGCGGTGCAGTCCGATCCTGCCCGCCGAGTACGTAGCCAGCACAATCTTGTCGAGCGCGACGCCGTGGTCGACCAAAACCTGCACCGCCATCAGCGCCGCGCCGCCGCTCGCCATCTGCGTGTCCAACAGCAGCACACTCTCGTGCGTCGCAATGTCTTCCGGTAGCTTGAGGTAGTGCAGCTCCGGCTCGCCCGTCTTGAAGCTAGACTGGATCAGGAGCCGGCCCGTTCGGCAGTCGGGAATCGTCCGCTTCAGCGCCGACTCGAATGCTGATCCTCCCCGCAGCACAATGACGGCGCTGACCTCGCCCTTGGGCGCGAGACCCTTGTACTCGTGACCCTGGGGCGTGTTGATGGAGAGGCTTTTGAATTGGACATTGTTGAGCGACCTGCCCGTGTTAGTAACTGGCCAGAAGGGTTGCCCGGGCGGGAGACTCACTGCTCGAGTACCAACGCCGCGAGCCTGTCAAAGTAAAAGATAAAGTCCTCAGCCGACGTATCGATGTCTTGTAGAATCGTATTCATGGCCTTTATTTGCGGTGTACCATTCAGCACAACAACGTGATCAGAAAGCGGCTGCTCCTTGCATTCCGCTTCCAGTCTCGACAGTGCCTCTCGATGGTGTCTGGATTTTTCCACTAATTTCTTGTCGATGAACTGAACCATCATGTCTACCGCCATGATCAGATAGGAATTCACGCAGTGTCAAGCAGCCCCTCTTACCAAGTGCAACACGATTCTCAATGCCTCGTGGAACAATGAGATCTGCGACCTTTCGCTGCGGCTCGACATACTTGAATATGTAAGTCCAAGTCCAAAGCTCAAATGTGCACGCAAGTATACCTTTTCAAAGTTGGGCTTTACATAGGCAAACCACTGCTTGATACAGCCCTCAATGTCTCGCTCACGCTCGCGAACGTCTCTCACAACTGTGTTCATGCATGTCTTAGCCGGTTACACTGCATAAGCCGCCAGAGCCAACTTACTTCTACGTGCAAGACACGTGTCTGCATCGGCCTCGCAGTAAATCTGCATAGACGTTAGAGCCGACCAGCCACAAAAATTCTGTCAGGGCAGTCACATACACCCATATCCAAAAGCTCCAGAACCCGTGGGTCATACAGGGCAAAGATGCCTTCCAGAACGAGAACATGCGGGGAATAGATTGTTGTTGTTTGTTCCAGGCGTTGATGTTTGGCAAAAGAATATACAGGGATATCGGCACGTTTTCTGCACATGCAGTTGAGCATACATGACAGCTAGCGCTTCTTGATGCACTTACCCGGCTTTGAGATCTCGGAGGCGCTCAACCAAGATGTCAAAATCGATGGCCTTGAATTACGATTAGCGTCCAAGTCGGGCAAGAAGAAGCCGCTAAATGTACCTCGGGGGAATCAAAGTCATAGTCGTTGGCAAAGGCCAGCTTAGATTGCTCTGGTGTCAGAGTTTTGTAAAATGAGTCCTGTTCCCGGTCAGTACGTAGTACAGAGATCGCCAAGTAGTACGGCTGATGAGACACGCTACCATCGACAAAATGACCACCCATGGTAGATTGAGCTTCTTCACGATTGCCTGCGAAAGAGTCGACTTTCCAGAGCCAGAGCTGCCCGCCACACCAATAATGCTAACGTCTGCCCAGGGTGGTGCATAGTAGGCTCGCTTCTGCACCGTGACATGCGTCTCCAGATTCGACATGATTGCTGTTCTAGGTGCACAGCCGGCAGACTTGGGCTACAAGAACCGCAGACCAAAGTATTGCACGATATCGTCGACGAAGAAAAAAACCACAGCCCGCAGTATGACCTCGCGTGATCCACCTGGAGACAAGCCACGGGGCAAGGCTAGGTGGCGAGGAGGGGTAAAACCTTCAAGGAGACGCAAAGCAGAGTTTCTGAGCGACGATAGTCTTGGGAGGCGGGTAGCAGGCTCTGAATCGGCCAGAGAAATAGTCGATCGTTGAGTTCTCTCCGTCACGATGATCTCGAGAATATCTTACCCCAGCTACTTGGTTTTGCGGAGAGACCCTGATTGGCTCAAGACAGCGCCTTTCCTAGGCGATGTGTCACGTGCAGCTGTGAGTGTCAATGGCATCCATCCATCCCACAGAGGCCAAGATGAATGAGTGTTAGTTATTTGCAGATTCTCTGGAGTATTCATTGAAGGATGGTTGAATTTTTTCAGAAGCGAAACAATTGTCAATTTCGTGTTCATGATCACTGAGTCAACCGTAAGCTGGTGGTAACTCACAATAGGTGATAGTTTGGTGGCTTTTTTCAAGACATTTTTTTTTGCCTCTCCTAATCATGAAAAGTCTACACATAGACAAAGCGCCACAGCAGTCAAGTTTTGCTACTCTTCCGCCCCAATCGCCAAAATTCTTGTGGTATCTTCCTCTTCTCTGATATACCCTCACCCGAGCTGGCCATACCTCGCAATCCTGGTGACCTCGAAACATTGTAGAAAATCCAAGGGCACATATGATTAATATGATTCGTTAGGAACCAAGTGCAGAACCTGGGTTGGTGAGTGTCGCGAGGAAGCAACGCGTGAACTTCACAACCCTGCAGGAGAGCATGCACACGGCATCCATCATGTGGGTACGAATATCATGGAGAATATGATCGACACTCAACCCATATGAATCAGTCGTTGAATCGAGATATAGATTTCACCGGTGCGATAATTTAGTGACACGATTGCCCGCACTTTGCTGTTGTGGGCCAACCGCCAGTGAAAGAATGGCCAGGCATTGACTGACAGGCAAATGATCAGCTTTGATATGATACTATAAGTGAAACAGCTGCGCGACATAGTTTCGCGGGTTTCTTATTCGGTCATAAAGAGTGGTCTCGAGTTGCGCCGCAATCCTGGACAACGCAAAGGCGCCCTCAGTTTCGTTGTGTCATGAGCAATGCGTCTACAGCACAATATTGTCCGATTGCCAAGTATTTCTTCGATTCTGACATGTTGCAAGGAGGGAATTATAGGTAGAGCCCGCCTGAGACAGCCGGAGCTCTCCGTGCGTTGAGCTATTTCTGTTCTTGCCCAAGTCCACCATTCACATGTCTTGAATTTTCAATCAACACCGAGGTGCTGCAGTCATGCCAATGGGGCAACACAGGCAACATCAGCTCGGGTGCACTGTGTGGCATCGTGATGCCCAAACACACATTCGGAGCCCGGCGTGTGCACCGCAGGAACATGCTATAGGCCAATTTATCCAACACTTGTTCCAGTCAAAATGCAGCGCTGCGTACCTAATGACTCGAGTACATGTGTATAATGATAAAGAGAATCTTGTAACACATCTAGCAGCGCGAAAGATCAATGCAACGAGCCGAGGCGCATTGTGACAGCGCTGGGCAAAGGCCAAGTTCGCGGGAGATCAACATCAGATTGAAACCTGATCTCGCCTCTCGTCTTCACACGCACCGTCAAGGGCTAGATATTTGATACTGGCACGTTCATACAGAAGTAACATTCTTGTGAGTCGCGGATTTAGTCATAAGATTGTCTGCCACCAAAGAATTGACCAGGGGCGAGGATGACGGCATGTGGCCGAGTAACAAAGCAGAGGCTAAAAACGTATGCGGCTTGATGACAACAAAGTCCCTCGCCTCGGTATAGACATCTCAAGACTCCCCAATTGAATATACAACACTAGCTTCTACGCCGCCCGCAGTGTGAGTATCGTCCCCGAGATATTCCGCCTTTTCCGTCTGCTGCCCTGCTTGCCTGCTGATCGCCCGGAGCACCTGGACTCCTGTTTGGGGTTAATTGAGCCCAGAAGAAACATGAGCAGCAAGGCTCACAGATGAGCAGGACCATGGACCTGATCAACAGTGCGACACCCGACAAGGAATACCTTGCAAGAGATTGTCAGGGCGGGGTTGTAGACATCCGAGCTGGATTAGCTGGAGGCTCTGTACTTTCGGCTGAACCTTTGGGGCAAAATTTTGCTCCGCAAGGACGATTCCATTCACGGATCGGATTCTATCCTTTTGGTTGGTTTACCATGGCAGCTGGAAGGTGTCAGGTCAGACTGCAGCCCCGGTAGGAGGAGGGGGTGCCGTTGGGAAAACTAGCATGGCTTGGCACTGGTTATGGTGAGTTTCCCCAACCAGTGGCGTCAAGGTTAGACTGGACAGGAAAGGACCGTTTTTAATCTACCCCCGGAGTGGATAGCCAAGTAGTCAGATCAGGAGGCTATTGATGGGGAAACAAGGATATGCGCAGACCAAATCAGCCGAGCACCTGAGAGTCTAACGTGAGTTGGTAACTTGCAGGGATGTGCCATCACCAAATACAGTTGATGGAGGGGGGAGTCTTTGTTTCATCGTTTTCGTCGTTTGTCGCTTCTCGGCCTGTGATGGCTCCTGTCGCACGACGACAACGGAGGCACACTAGTGCCCCGCCGACTGTGGGAATACCTACCTACCTGTTTGTCCAGCTTCTCTGGTCCTTCACTGTAGAAGGCCAAAGAAAGCTTGACAACTCTCTGCAGCTGAGCCGCAAAGACCATCTCGTCCTTGCCATCGGGCTGCTGCTCTCTCTCCACCCGCCTCCACGCCTTGGGCTTTGACAGCTCCTTTCTGCGACTATTTTTGCAATGATGGACTACGTGGGGCAATTGCGCCCCCCCCCCAAAGACAACAGAAACAACGGGAGGCCTGGGAAAGGTAACGATCGCCGACACTACTTCACATGCCGCAAAGGTAACATCTGCCCTGTTCTAGCCAGGGCCTTGGAGACACTCCCCACTGCCACCAATATAGTCTTTGATGCATAACCTTTGAACCGACCAACTTTGCGCAGCAGTGTTTGATCTCATCGAATAGCAGTTGAAAAGCTTGCTGAACCGCATTCGACCAACCGACTACGGATTGGTTGAGAACCCTCCTTCTCGCCTTATCTATCTGCTCATAGCCACTCACTCTGTGTCGGAGCGACTCGTCTTGTTGTGCGTACACTTGGGTGCGACATTGTTCTCTGACACTCTATATGCGCATATGCAAATAGGTACGTACGTGAACCAGATGTTGCTGTTACCACGGCCACAGACTCAAAATTGGACCTTGATATGATGCTGTGAATCTGCGCTGACAGCCTACAGCTGACATGCACTCAACCACTCAGTTTGGCCAGATAGGCTGGCCTCCATCCTACACGGCAATGCCGTACTCTAACAACACTTCAAACACTTTGCCGATTACACTAGTCGATCCACGCGGTACGCCATTTCTTGCTTTTGTGCAAGATCCTTACGAAGCCCAAAGCATTCATCACGAAATGAGCCTGAACAACCAGAACTATGAGTCCAACTCCTGTGCCTCGCAGAAACTAGCAGAGGGGCTACCGGGCGCCGATCAAAGCACGGCTATCTATCCAATTCCACCGCACTATTTGCTAAAGTCCGACGTCGCAGCTGCGGCCGGGCAAGCAGGGCATGTCGCGGGACATGCGCCGTCTCATCTCTGTCACCAGACCTCAGTTGACTTCAAAGATGACCTGCTAAGGAATCGGCATATTAATAGCAATGACAACACTTTTATGGAGTGGCTGTATCCCCCAACAAAAGGGTCGTCATCTCAGAATTTTCCCGAAAGTACAGTGCAGTGGGGGAGCGACTCCATGTTTGACGCGGAATCGAGAGGTACACAGCGAAGGGTGGGCGTAAGGCAACTTACGCAATTCAGACTCAAATTGATTGAGGACGATGATGAAGACGAGGAGGAAGAAGAGGAAGAAGAAGAGGAGGAAGAGGAGGAACAAGATGGTGATGCTGAAGACGCGCCATCACCGGGATCGAGGTCCAGCCAGGCTCGCAGCCCCACGTTCTCTGTCAAGAAGGGAGTCAGCACCCGCAGCAGCCGAGCTATTTCGAAAAAGGCATACACAGATGGCTCTGCGGCCTCCATTGCGGGACGTTCGATACCTAGGCGCGAACCAAAAGGGCAACGCAAGAAGCTCACGATCGAACAGAAGCGAAGCAATCACATCCGACATGAAAAGAAACGGCGGGGACTTATACGTGATGGATTCAATGACCTCACGGAGCTCGTTCCCGAGCTCCGGGGAGGGACCTGGTCAAGATCTAGAGTTTTATTTACAGCAGTTGAGTTTTTAAAGACTCTGCTGGAGAGGAATGACGCCTTGCAAGAAGAGTTGAACGCTCTGAAGTCAGACAAGACGGAGAACTGAGAAAAAGAGACAGCTCGGTCGTGTTGTGAGATTTTGGCAATTTGACTGTACATGATGGGAGATGTACTCAAAATCTATTCATTCCTTTCCAACTCAAATTACTGCACCTATTGTTTTACGAATTATTCCTCAATATTTTGACATCACTTGGCCTAGAAGCTTTCGCGAACCTTCCGAGGCCTGGCACCATGCCAAGCCACTGACCACCATCAAGCAGTAGTCAGGCACATTCTTCTCCAAATTCTGAGGGCGGGCGAAAGTGGCTTGTCGAGCTACACCTGGTGGCTGTCGCAGGTGAAAGGAGAGGGGCAGTAACTAACAAATGCGCATGGACAGTTTAACTCGATGAAAGTAGGTTTAAGCGGTTCATCCCGTTGTGGCTCTGTGGTCAGACCTGGGGAAAAAACATGCCGATGTCATCTGCCAGGCATATTTGCTCCGTTCTTTGTCAAGGCGAGAGAGGAGAATTCAGGCCAAAGCCACACGATTTCGGGGGCGCTGACTTCCGCCGCCCCCCCCCCCCCCCCCTCCCCCGCCATGAGCCTCTTTTTTTCATCGACAGTTGCCAACTTTGCATAAATATTGCTCGCCTTTGTTTTAGTCCTTACCCACATGCCACATGCCCATTGATACTATCTGCACACCCCATATGCAGTGCCGACACGCCCCTCCTCCCGGACCATTCCCCAGAAAGCACATATGTGCTCGGCCGAGGGAAAAGCTGTCAAAACTTGTCGAGCGCAGATGATGAAAAATTTTGTGAAGGAGGCGGAATTCCCGCACGCCGCCCATCCTAACCCACCTCGGCCCCCAAATTGTCTCACCCGGGGGTACCTGGTCGGCCCTGATTGAGCATCAGACAACTTTCTTGTGTGATTGATTACGCTGCATGGCCCGCTTCAGATATTCTGCTCAAGTTGATGATGACAGTGAGGACGCGTGCTTTGGGCTCTATCAGTAGTGTCAGTTTGACTTGCCTGGAACCGGATGCAACACCATCTCATCGACTCATCTGCCAGATGCGGCGCCAAGTATATGCCCTCATAAGCCCTCGTGAGTTGACTAGACGAATCTCGGTCGGTTTTACTGTCATGCGTGTCGAACATTGTGTTTCTAGACCTCTGAACATCAACATCGTCGAGTCTTACACACACAATCCAATTGCGAGCACAACTCAATGGCCATTATAAAACGGCCAAGTCGCAACTCAGTCGACCATTTTCGAAAGAATATTTCTAGGGCAACGACAACTTTACAGGGAAACCCACTCTATAGAAGGTATCTTTTTTCTTATATTTAGGTAACCTCAAGCCAGTGTTGAGTTTTCGCATCAGGCGGTGGCTTGGATAGGATTTAGGTGTGCGAAGCCCGCCATGCGAGGCGCTCGTTAGGTAATAGATGAGGATTAGGATTCAAGTTTTTTTTTTTTTTCGAAAAATATGATAAAAACAAGTGACGATAGAAAATTCAGAAATTTTTCCTTCCTGTGCACCATATCTACTCAATATTCAAGTCTACCCACTCGATTCATAATGCACTTCTCCGCCCCTCTTGTGCTGCTTACTGCCATTACCGGTGCTCATGCACTCGTTCTACCGCGCGATACCAAGTCATACGCCAAGGTCTTTAGAAATGTAAAGGCCAGAGTTTTCGATTTGGATAATGCCTTTAGTCTCTGGACCAAGGACCCTGCCCCGATCGTTCAAGCCGCCAACAGGCTGATGGTTACGATTGAACAGAGCACCAGCACCGTCCAAGGCTACGCCAACCTCACCATGAATGAGACGCTGAGCCTGTACTCCCCAGTCGCGGAGCTCAAGGTGCAGTTCGAGTACCTCGATGAACACCTCGACAAGAGGAAGAAGGACTATCGAAAGGCCGGGCTGTGCCATCTCATCAGCAGCCAAATCGCCTCCATTATCGACAAAGGCAAGGCCCTGGCTGGCGTCACCATCTCCAAGATTCCCCCAGGCGCCCAGAATTTTGCAAAGACGAAGCACGCTCAGGATCTTTTTGATACCCTGGAGAGAACTCGGGCCGCCTTTTCCGCCGACAAATGCAAGCAGGCGACAACCGCAAATGTGACAACTGGCAAGAATGTTTGGCTAGAGCGATGATGCTAGGGTAATATAAACACAGGAATCTGCTCAATTATTGAGATTAATTTGCTATAACTAGCAAAACAAACAGAAGTAGTTGATAGTCAATACAGAAAATTGGCCATTGTCAAATTACCAAATGCCATCATTTTCAACGTTGCTGCACATGTCGGCTAGGGACTGGACCAAAAGGAAAAAGGCACAATTTAAATTAGAGTCATGTACTATTCCAACCATGAGGCAGGTACAACTAATATTAATACAGAAAAGCTGCTGCAAAAACATTAATGAGCCAATATGTCAATCAAGTTGGTCTTGCTGGATGTAGATACACTTGTGTGCCATTGTCTCAGTACCATGTAATAGCCCTTGGTCGAAGAAGATGAAACGTTTTTGACTGATCCCTCAGTCTACGAGAGAGACTTTTCCCTTCTTGACCACGACGTGATCCGTAGAATTTGCTTACTGCCAAGGATTTACAGCAGCATGGCGGCAGCAGCAAGAGCAGCAGCACCAAGGGGCGCAATGGCAGCGGCACCGGCGGTGACGACGGGAAAGTCGGAGCTGGCAGCGCCAGAGCTGCTAGCAGCGCCAGTTCCAGTGGAAACAGCAGAGCTGGTGGGATAAGGAGCCGAGGTGACGGAAGAAGAGGCAGCTCCGGTAGGTGCTGCCGAGGAAGAGCCAGCAGCAGAAGACGTGGCAGCAGCCGAAGATGAGGCCGGGGCAGAGCCAGTGGACGAAGAACCGGCGTTGCCGCTGTCCTTGCAGTTGCTCTCGCTAAACACGTCAACGGCCTCCTGGAGGACCTTGGTGAGGCCAGCGACGAGCTGGGAGGCAATCGACTGGGCCTCCTCGGGGACCTTTGCAATGACCGACTTGATCAGCGCCTGCGAGGCATCGTTGACGCTGCCGACCTGGGTGCGGAAAATGGTGCACGCGCCCTCCTTTTCGACCGTGGGGCGAAACTCCTTGAGGCCCGAGGTGAGCGCCTCGCCGCTCTTGGTCAGGTCCTGGACGGGCTCCGTCAGCTTGATGGCGCCGTTGAGGTCGAGCTCGTCGGAGCCGTCGACCTTTGTCTTGCCGTCGGTCAGGGCGGAGACGACGTCGTTGGAGGCCTTGAGAAGGGGCGCCTGGTCGCCGCTGTAGCTCTTGACGGACGAGTCGAGGGCCTCGAGGTTCTTCTTGACGTCGCCGAGGATGGAGATGACGGTGTCGGCGTCGCGCGGAGCAACGAGGTTGGTGTTGAGGGCGAGGGCACCGGTGACGGCGCAGGCAATGATGGAGTACTTCATTTTTTTGGGTGAGATAAAGAGAGTTTTGAGGGGATATTAATTTGAAGTGAATATTCTAAAGAATTTGTGACGGAGCGCTTTAGTGTGACTGAAACGACAGAGTTTGCAAGAGAAAGGGCAGTAAGACGAATGAAGAGCAGACTTGTTTTCTAGATGGTCAAGTCTGGCTCTTGCCGTCATTTATCTAATTTGGCATTGATTTGGTCTTTGGCAACAATAAACAAGAATTTGCGGATCGGCATTGGGTTGAGCCTGGTAGGTTCTGCCCCTGTCCATCGCTTGACAATACATATGTAGTTGATGGTGCCGAGGCCGCCACCCCATATGTGCAAGGGCTGAGCCGCACCTGTAAGCAAGAATATCGACTGAAAAAGTTTTAAGCCCCTGATTTAATTTCCGGAAAAAATGCCGACAATAGTACAGAATATTGAGTAATACAATCCCCACCCCTGCTCTCAGTGTTTGATAGCTCCGCTTTGGTCGAGTTTGAGACTGGCATTGTACCAGTGCGTCGTCCTTTAAGATGGCATCTTGAAAGTCAAATTTGATACATATTAGTCTCAAAGTTTAACGGCCCGTCTTTCAATGTCGCACGTTCCTGGCTCTTCTTTGATGTAATTGCAAGTGGATAAAGTCCCTACCGGAATCATGTTACTATTCATAGGCGCACCGAGTCGCATGCACACACGTCTTGAAACATTGAGACTTGCATGCCATGCATTGCCCGAATGTGTTTGGAAACGCGGCTAGCTTCATATCAACAAGGCAATTATACTAATTCACAATTGGAGGCCGCAGACGGACGCGAGTCGGACCGGTGGTCCGTTTCTCTGGCCAGTGACGGTGCGTGGTATTAGAATGGCATCTAGTGCCAAACAATTGCGCCATAGCTCTAGCCAGCCACGTTTTCGTTTGCATTTGAAGTTGCTTCTCCCAGAAAGTATGTCAAAGGTAGTGTCCTTATAACAGATGGCAGGGAGCCCTTGTCTCAAAAGGTCCGAAGTCTTAGTTGGACTAAAGTCAACAGAGCCTTGGTATATCCGTACATGGCCGTCGGTCCGGCTTGACTAGAGCAGCAAGATCGAATCAATCGAATCTGCAAACTGTAGATCTATAATTGTGACTAAATATTTCTTTTTTGGTGTTTTGGGGCTACATGTGTGTTCAAGATCATATTGACAGGCACACACTGGCATGACAGGTATACAATGACAGACAGGGTGCCTTGCAAAGTGCGCATCCCTGTCCTGATAGATATACACCCTCTAATTAGCTTTTGGATCCACCAACGTAGTTACGCTATGCAACACTTCCCCAGGTTCTTGTGCGGGGGATGTGAGCCCACTCATGCAACGCACGGCCGAGGCCAGTGCATCCAGGCTTCTTCACAGGCTTTCCCCCAACCCAGCAAACCCCAGCTGAGATGCCATCCGACAAGTGTACATATTTCTCTTTGGTTGGTTGGCTGATAATCCACGCGGGCTTCCCCCCTGGCCGTTTCATGTTGGGACATACATGCAGTATTATTGGAGAGGCCTCTCCCCACACATCTCACATGTCGCTTTACTTCTGCCGAAAAACACGCCAGGGCCAAAGGCGCCTCGGGAGTAGCCTGTCCACATGTTGTGGGGTAGACTTACCTTGCAATAACAGGATATGTAGACGCGCCGGTCGTTGCCAACTTCAATAACCGTGCACCGTCAGATGTTGTGCAAGGCCGAGCAACTTGGCATTTTGTCCAGATTGTCACCCAACCCACGGCTTGCGAGTGTGGGGAAGTCTTCTGTGGGTGACTCTGAACAGATGCCTTTTTTGCGCGAACAAGAATGGTAATTGGAATTTGGCAAACAGTGGGCAACATGCGATTCACAGCTATCGCTGCGCTAGTCGACCTAAACGATGGGACAGAAAGCTGGTCAATGTGTATTGGATTTGCATGCTGCTTGGTACTACATATGTTTGTGAAAAAAAAACTCCTCCTGAAATGTGATTGATTAATCTAGAATTGAATCAAGTTGTAAATCTTCCATCATCACCAGACCGTAGCTCAACTCGGTTCCATTGTGTATTGGCGACAGCTCACTCATCATCCGACAGCATCCAGATCCCTAAATCAGAGCCAAAGTGGCTACCAGGCCGAGAGCAAGGGAAAAAAAGACGCTCGAGGGCCCAAAGCCAAGACGTGAGCTGGCAGAGGTGGTTGTCACGTTCCGTCCATTGACGCAGTTTTCGGTCGAAAAGTCGTCTTGGACGCTCTTCAAAGAGTCGGTTATGCCCTCGGATAGCGCTTCAGAAATCTCAAGCGCAGCAGAAGGCACCCTGCTGTTGACGGCTGCGATCAAGGAAGTCGCTCCTTTGTTGATATTTGCTACTTGTAATTGAACAACCATGCAAAGCTTCTGCGTCTCTATCGAGCTCTTGAGCTTGACCATGTTTTTCGCAAGGTCTGCTGACAACTCTGACATTTTGTGTACTGGCCCAATCAGGTGAACGGTTTCGATGTAGGTGAGGTTGCCCGTGGCGTTGACAGTAGATGTAGCGACCTGAATAGATTGAACGATACGATCAGAGGCTTTCAGAAGCGTGGCTGGATCTGCGTTGCCAGAGTCGGCCACACTTGACAAAGCCTTGACGCTTTCCGTAACATTGGCCAACACGGTATTGATAGCGTCGAAATCGCGTGAGACTATTTGTGATGGAGATGCGTTGGCGATGCCGACGATGGCGCTGAAAATGAGTGAAAGCCGCATGCTGTGTCGTGGTGCAATGAAAGAAGGTACAATATAAAATCGAATACAAGGATAATACAGGCTCGTCTGTAAAAAAATCACCTTGTTGAAGAAATCAAGGGTTTACGGATGAGTTGAGCTTTTGCCCGAGTCGCAAGAAGACGCAGTGTCTATCTGGTTCAAGTACCAGCAACAAAGACTTGATAACCAAACTAAAGAACGCTAAAACCAATACAATGCGAGCAACTATCTTTTCGAGAACATCCAACTCTAGGCTCGTTGGATTTTTTTTTCAAGCGCATTGACTGGATTGGGTGGCTAAAGTACGCACAACTACACATGTGGTCGTTTCCCTTGCCGAGGACCTGAGCAAGCATGATGAAGAAGTTTGCTGCATCACGCATATGACTATTCATTTCGCACTAGGGCGCTCGAGTTACTTTTTTTTTTTTTTTTTTAAAAACTTTTTAAAAAAAAAAACCTGTTCTTTAGTACGTA